GGGTTAGGCTCTGATACCAAATTGTCACATCCCAGCCCGAGCTGCTACTACATCCCGGCACACCACAACAGGGTTAGGCTCTGATACCAAATTGTCACATCCCAGCCCGGGCTGCCACTACATCCTGAGCTCGACTCCACCGTAGCACGATATTGTCCGCTTTGGGCCCCCACCACGCCCTAATGGTTTTGTTTCTAGGAACTCACACGAGAACTTCCCAGTAGGTCACCCATCATGGGATTGCTCTCGCGTGCTACTCGCTTAACTTCGGAGTTCCGATGGAACATGAAACCAGTGAGCTCCCAAAAGGCCTCGTGCTAGGTATAGATGGGAATATACCTATAAGGCTTACAGGATCCACTCTCCTGGGCGATGTGAGATGTTACAATCCACTCCCCTTAGGGGCCCGACGTCATCATCGGCACACGTCCGGCCAGGGATTGGTTCAGATACCAAATTGTCACATTCCCACCCGGGCCCCCACCACATCCCGAGCTCAACTCCACTGTAACACGATATTGTCCGCTTTTGGCTCCGACCACGCTCTCACGGTTTTGTTTATGGGAACTCACACGATAACTTCCCTGTGGGTCACCCATCATGAGATTGCTCTCGCACTACTAGCTTAACTTCGGAGTTTCGATGGAACCTGAAGCCAGTGAGCTCCCAAAAGACCTCGTGCTAGTTAAGGATGAGAATATACATATAAGGCTTACAGGATCCACTCCCCTGGGCGATGTGGGATGTTACAGAATTTGAACCACATTATACTATTTCATTGTAAGATTAAGCTTATCCTTCTCATATTTAGTATAGAGAATAAAGAAAAATAATGAAAATAGCTTCAAATCTTTACATTTTAATAAAAAACCATACACTAAATTTTATTTAATGATAAGGACAAAAAATTAAAAAAAATCCAAGTGCGCTGAGTGCACATCCCTTCCCCACCCCCCCTAAAAAAAACTTTGTAACTCCAACTCGCCCTCCTCTATAAACCCCATCCCAATCCCCTCTCCCACAATACCTATAGTCTATCCCTCCTTTACTAACACCACTAATTCCGCTGTGAGATCACCTACACCTTCTACTCCCGTCGCTCGTTACTCCTCACCATCATCAATTTTCGATCCCCCAACCTTTACAGAAAGCTTCGCCTACTACCCATCCGCCCAATACTTCATCGTTAACTCCATCCACAAATGCACAATCCTCTCTGTCTCCGCGCCTCCTTCCACGACAAAGCCTAGCAAACCTATACCCTAATTGCCTAACCTTCAAATCAAGCCCAGTTTCCTCCATGCCTCATTTTATGGAAAGCCATGGCTTGATGGAACAAGGTTGCATAAGGGAAGGTTTGCCAATAATAGAAGGGAACAATATCAGATCAAATCAAGTCCATTAATTGCCTTTTTCAATACAAAGCGAATTGTTTGAGAAAATTGCAAATTCTGATTGGAATGATAGGTTCTAGATGGTTGCTAACTTTGACTGTATTTTCATAAACAGTGTAGTAAGTTTCATAAACAGTGTCGTAAGTTTTCATAAACAATGCAGTAAGTTTCATAAACAGTGTCGTAAGTTTCATAAACAGTTTGTGCGCGTGTCATATATTTTTTTTAATATTAAAATTATGTCTTTTTCATTAAAATTAAGTTCTTTTGTCTTTTTTTATTAAAATTTAAAGGTTTTTCATTAAATTTTAAGTCTTTTTAATTAGGGAATTGTTATTGGCACTCTAAAAATCTCATTCTACACTCCAAACTTTCTATATTTGGAAAGAAAAATACATTTGTGAGGAGTGTAGAATGAGATTTTTGGAGTGCCAATAATACTTCCCTTTAATTAAATAAAGTTATAGCATGATTTTTTTATTAAAATAAACTTTGCTCAAGTTATTTTCATGAAAGTTCCCTAGATAATATCGTTTGTTAAAAAAATTACTATTTTTCTTAATAATATAATAGTTATTTTTGTTAAGATTTCTTGTGAGTTGGTTTAGTTTAGAACTAGCATTTGCCTACACACTTTGTGTGTATAAATACATTTTTTTAGAAAATGAGAGAGAGAGAGAACGCGGAAGGAATGAGAGGTCTTTATTTTTTTTTTTGTTTTTTTTTTTTTAATATTGGAGGTATTTCAACATCACCGGTAGGTGAGACTTCAATAAAAAACAGTAAAATTTGAACTTGTGAAATTATATTATTGCCCATAATTTTTTTTGTGTGATAGAAGACTAAGTAGTTTTTTCATTTACTTTTAATTGACAAAGATGATTTCATTAATTAATGGAGATATATTCATATCATCGTCAGTCTGTTATCAGTCAGTCATTCAACCATCCATATATGACATATGATTATGATTCCAATCCATGCAATAAAATATGGATCCGGCTTCTCTGCCCTCTCACTTCTCATACACTTTCATTTCCTCTTATTTTGTGCGGTCACGGTTAAGCCACGTTAACATTTTATATTGATTTTTTTTATAGAGATAATAAGACAAAAAAAAATAGTAATATAAAATATTGACGCGATTTAATCATGATCGTATAAATAAAAGGGGATAAGAGTGTATGAAAAGTTAAAGAGCAGAGAAGTCAAGGCCATAAAATATTGGGTCCCGTCCCATGGCATTGCACATTCCTAGATCTCTTTGGAGCCGTCGGATATGACTCGTTGTCAATTTCATGGAGATGCAGGATCCCGATGCACTAGCACTAGCACTACTTTACTTTGGTATCAAAAATCAACTTAAAAGAGAAGGAAAAAAAAAAAAAGGGGGGGAGGCAGAGCAATGTGCGCCAAATTAATACTTGTGCCTAACAGACAGCACAGCACCAGCACAAGCATAGATATCCCAGCTGAAAGATTCCTCCCAAACCGATCGACCAATAGGATTGCAAGTTTGGAACCCTCCTCCCTCCTCCCTCCTCCCTCCTCCTCGTCCACCCTCAGTCCCAGACTCTCAGTCCACACCCCAAAATCCGGCAGCGTTTTTTCATGTGTTTAATTCCATTTTTCTTTTTGCTGTCTGCGAAGTTCACTCCTTCTATTAGTATAAATTACATTTTTTTTGTTAAATTTTTTTTTCTTTTAAAAATAGTAATTTGTATACAAAAGCAAAGTTTAAGAACAGTAATTATTATAGGGTGAGTCCGGAGTTAGAGGGTCTTAACCTTGGTATATTTTTGTTAGGGAATAAGGGTTATCCTTTTTAAATACGAATTGACTTCAATTCCAACAGGTTAGTTGGTGTTAATGACGGAAGATAAGATGAAATTGAATAATAAATTTTTGGGGTGTGTGGAGGAGAAGGATTCTCTTCCCTCCTAATCTCTCTTTCATTCTCTTCCTTCCTATTTGAACAACGGTTACGATTTAATCACATCAATATCTTATATTGATTTTTTTATAGAGACAATAAGACAAAAAACAATATATTAGAGGAGTGGAGGAAAAGTGATGAAAATAGAAGAGGAAAGAATCCTCCCCTTGTGTGGATTGTAATCAAAATTACTACAAATTGTTGACCAATCACCATAGGAATATCAGATGATGTAGTACACAAGCAGTATATTCGATTACGTTTTATTATGTAATGTTTCTAAGTTAATGATATCGTTTTCTTTAAAAAAAAAAATAAAATAAAATAAGAATTCAAAATGGAGAGTGTTGAGGTTAAAAGATTCAATTACCAAGCTAGCTTTCATGCACATAACTACACGTAAAAATAAGAAAAGGAAAGAAAATATATATTGGAATTAACAACCGTACAACTTTTCATGTACATAACAACAAATATAAGTCATCATGAAGTGCGTATTTTGCAATTCAAAAGCTATAAACTACAATTCTAACATGCAACGATGTGTAAATTTCAAGAATGAAAAAACAAATTTCAACAAAGTTGTAAAATTTAAATTTTGAGGTAAACCGGTAGGCTTTCAGTTCAAAGTATTAAGTACCTCTACTTGTTCATGGAGTGACATCATAAATAGTAGCCTAATACCGTGGGGGAAACTAATATGTATCATTATTAATTAGCAAGGTCTTCTCTTAGTTTTGGGAGATGTTCAAAATAGGTATATATATATATATATATGTAAGATTTAAAGTCCGACTATTCCATAAATAGCTTTAGGCTTTTACTATGTTAGAAAGATTTCTTAATGTATCGGAAACGCTTCTTACATATGTACTACAAAATGATGGATATGAACAGTTACATATGCAATGTAATTATATACATATATTATATATGTAAGGACTAAGGGGAGAGAACTATCAAACGAAAGCAGGTAGAATTACAAATGGAGCCCTGCGCATATCAAAGTACATTTAACCAGTCGTTGTGCAGCTTATAAAGTTTAACCAAATAATATTGAAAGATTAGCAACACCTAGTTGGCTGAAAAGCAGTGATATCAAAATGTCGTAGGCGTCCAAAGCCGATCGTGAATGTACTACCAGTATGGTGGCGCCGGAAGCACTAGTAGCGGATACCGCGATGATCTGCAGCCGCAGCATGATGAAGATGACGACGATGATGAGTACAGAAAGGACTACATGAAGTGCAACACAGCAAGCAGTAGCATAGCCGAGATTGAGGAAGAGGAAGGTGATGATATCGATGATGAGAAGAAGTGTAAGACCTATTATTCAGACCGAATTTTGTAAAACATGACTTAATTGTGGATGATTGAATTATTATATAAGTGTTGATCAATGTGTTTATTTTTTAGGAAGTTTTAACAAAACACTCTCGGTACCGTTCACTTTTAACGAAAAATCACATTTTTACCTTTCCCTGGTACTATTCACTACACCTTTATTTGTCATTTTTCATTAAAACTAAAGTTTTTTTAAATTTTTCGTTAATTTTCCTTAATTTTTATTGGTAACACGTCACATAATTTACAAATTTGGTCTAAAAAGTTAGTTTACCTAGCATTCTAGTTAATTAAGATCCAACCGAGGCTGAAGAAGTCTAATACCATGTAGAAAAGGATTTTCCTTAATTATGAAAATGTACAGTAGAACAATATTTATACAGGGATTACAAAGGTAACAGCCCTATACTAATTACAGAGTAAATTACAGGCTCATTTGGAGGTACTTTATAAAATAACTGAAAACGCTTTCGGTAAAAACGTTATGAAAACCAATTCTTTGTAAAAATCCAAGTGGATCTAGAAAAGTACTTAAGTGCTTTCTGCAAAAAATCACGTATCTGATGCTTCTTTCAAAAAACACTTCAAATGCTATTGAAACCCAAAATCAATTTCACCAAAAGCTTTTTCGACCATTTTAAAAGCATTTTCCAACGAGCCCTACAGCTAATTATCATAACGAAAGCTGTAACAAAACTCATTGAATTGGTGATAAATGTTGCAACTCGCTAACAGAAACCCTTTGCAGTCAATAAACAACTATTGCTAAAAGAAATCAAACTCCAGATAATTATCAGAACCCTTTTGATCGGGAGCTGCGATTGTGGGGGTAGGAGGAGCCTTCTCCTTCTCGCTTGATGATGCTGTTGGGGCTGGTATCCGCTCAATCTCAACAGGCCTTGGGATATCCGGTGGGGTAGCACAACGTATCAATGCCCAATTTACACCTTCAAAGAAGGGATGTTGCTTAATCTCAGTTGCCCCTCGTTTATATGCCAATCTGTGCTGTGGTTCCTTAACAAGCAATCCCCTTATGAGATCCCTTGCTGCAAAACTGACAACTGGTGATTCTGGAAACCGGAGAGGCTGACCCACAACATTGAACAATGTCGCGCGATTCCCGGAACCCTTAAATGGAGTTTTACCAAACAACAGCTCATATAAAAAGATTCCAAAAGTCCACCAATCAACAGCACTTCCATGACCTTCCCCCTTGATGATCTCAGGTGCCAAATATTCATGGGTTCCAACAAATGACATGGACCGGGCATCAGTTGGCTCAGCAATCAGCTCAGGTAATGGTCTAACTTGGTTTCCTATTTCGTTTTTAGATTTTTTGTCCTTCTTGGACTTGCTAGAAAACAGACGTGGTCCAAAGCATGTTGTAGGAGCTACACAGGATGGTTGGATACAGGAAGGTGGCTCAATGCAAGCTGGCTGGACACAATACACAGGGTTCTTGCGCAAGGGTTCAAACTCCATTGATGATGTTTTGACAAGAGTTGGACTAACAGCACAACGGAGGGAAAGATCAAAGTCAGACAGCATTATATGACCATCTTCCCTCACCAGCACATTTTCTGGCTTAAGGTCACGGTAGACAATCCCAAGCATGTGGAGGTATTCCAGAGATAGCAGGACCTCAGCAACATAGAATCTGCAAGCTCCAAATGAAAATCAACTTGTTACAATCAAAAGCTATGGACATGTACTATTTTAGTCCTGGCGACCACAAGACCATTGCTCAAATTGATTGAAGCAATTGTTTGCAGAAACCAAGATAAAGCCCACAAAATACATACATTTAGACTGATTACATCAAAACACATCAGCACTGAAACCCTTAATTTTTTAACATAATATCCGTCATCCCCCCCAATCTTACTAACTAGAACTTTAATCGTTTCAAAGTTTTGAGGACTTTCTGCAAGTCCCTAGAATTTTGGAGGAATAGACGACTGTTACATAATGACTGGTGGAAGATTGCCGATGACATATAATTGAACCACATAGATGTTCTACATAAAATGACTAGGGCACTTATCAAAGCACTTAGACAATGTAATAGCATCTACATTGTTTTTAGATGATATGCACCTAAGGTTTTGATTTCATCAGTTAAGGATGGCTCCAGTATTTAAACTTTGCTGAACATGATGGGAATTAATCGCACCAACAGGAAAAAGTTGGTGCAAATAATAATGCCACACGAATGTACAAAGAAATATCTTTTAAGATAGAAAAGCAAATGGCAAAGGCCATAGCCTATCAGTAGCTCAATATCAATTATAGTCTTGCTTCATTTAATGCTTTTACATGATAACCAAGAGCATTTTCTAAAAGTGTTTAACTTGGAGCATTTTCTAAAAGTGTTTAACTTGGAGCATTTTCAGAATACAATGTTTGGTTAACCACCTATGGCTAAAAGGTAAAACCACATCCTCATTGAGGATTGACTTGCTGCAGACAGACCCCATATAATCTACATAGGCCTGACACAAAGCTTAAATATAGGACATTATCTGAAAACTTTCATTTCAATTTTCAAAACAAAACCACACAATCTAGTTTACCAAAATAATCTGGGATGATATGAAGATGAAACAAAAGATTCTTGTGAAGTAAAATGAAGAGAACCAGATAAATGTGTGCAATTTAAATGAACATACTTTACTGCCTGCTCAGAAAAATGCTTCCCTGGCTGCCTCTGCCTGAGAGTGTGCAAGTCTCCTCCAGGACAGAACTCCATTACCAAGCATGAAAACTTGTCTGTCTCAAAGTGGGTATATAATGTTGGAAGGAAGGGGTGATCCAGAGATTGCAGTATCTCTCTTTCTGTCTGAGCCCGAAGAAGCTTTTTACGACTTGCTAGAGACCCTTTGTCCATAACTTTCATTGCAAAATAACATTTTGTTCCACTCAGCTCTGACAGATAGACACTTCCAATATCCCCACAGCCTAACCTCTTCAGCAGTCTGAAATGACCCAGACCCAGAGCCCCATCTCTAGTTCGGACAGCTTGAATAGCTTCCCATCTCAGGTCATTTGCTTTGTGAGGTTTGCTGATGCTGCTACTAAAGCTGCTACAGGTGCTCTCATCACTCACATCACTGCCAGTGCTTCCTCTACACATACTGCTCTTGCCACTCTCAACAAAATCAACTCGATCACTAATCTTAGCACTTCCACTGGTCTTGGCAAGGCTGCTTGTTCCATCGCTCACTTTGGCTGAAACTGAACTGTCCTTCACACTTCCATACTCTGATGTCTTCTTTTCTTGATCAACAGAACTTTCAAGTGAGCCTCTAGTCTCATTTGCAGTAGAATCTATTTCCCTTGTTGCCTTTTCAAGGTTGGATGACATTGACAATGAAATCGAATTCAATTTACTAATCAAGGAATCCGCAGATCCTTTGTCTTTAGAATTTGTTGACCTTTTATTATCAGAAGCGTTTACTGCAACCTGCTTTGATGAGTTTTGTACAGATTTTGGTAATTGCTCCGGGAGCAATTGCCTGAGATCATTAGTTTCTACCGTCTGCCCACCAGCTGCTTTCTGTTGCATTCTTGAGGAAGCTCTGGTACCAGATTTTGAGGCCATCAGATTTCAGAGGTAATGGGGGTTATCAAGCAAATTGAAAATTTCATTGCCCTCCCCCACTCTGGGCAACATTGTAACCTCCATTAGCAGCCCACATAGTCCCTTGTCAACTCTTCCAGCAGCAACAGTCAATCTATATATTATAAAACATTCAGATGCGATACATGTATACCTTGTGTATCCTTTCAAATCGGAATTGAAAAGAAAGACATTGACTGCAATCATTAGACAACCAGCTCATTCAAATGACCTCAGGAAGTAGATCACACAATTGGTAAAGCATATAATCAAGCAGAGAAAGACATGCAGATTGCAGAGGCACCCCTGACAATGGAGGATCAGATGATGTTGATTCACACAGATATTAATGATCAGATAGAGTGCATTAGCCACCCCTTTTACCCTTTTACGCTTTACCCACCCTCCAATACATATACAAGGAAGAGGCAGAACAAAAATTAGTTAAGGAAATTGAAAAAGAAACTGAAGAATTGAATGATATTAGCATAAGCAGCAAGTAAATGCAGGTAACCAGATAATGCAGTTTCTAGTTTCTAGTTTTATAGAGAAATAGTAGTAGGCGTTTCGTTAGAAATGGAATAATATTAGCATAAGCAGCAAGTAAATTAAGTTGATGAATCGTGAGGGGACAATTACATAGAGCCCAGATCTATAATCTCACAAAACCGAAGCCTTCAGCCAAAACCAAGACAGATCCAAAAGCACAGACACACCCGGATGCAGAAAGCAAGTCTAGTCCACAACGCATAGCCTATCAACGGAAAAGGAAAAGTGTGTCTGTGAGAGAGAGAGAGGGGCAAAAAGGATTACCTGAATTGAAGGATCAGAGTAGAGGAGGAGAAGGAGGCGGCTTTGGTTTGGCAGCGGAAAAGGAGAGGCGCTGTAGAAAGCGCGCAGCTCACAGCTTATTAGTTGATGCTTGTGGGGAGAGCAACTGAGGGAGCAAAAGGGAAGCTTGCTTGATTCTTTTAGAGAGAGAGAGAGAGTAATAAAACAGACAGACTGGGCCTCCTCCGCTTCTGCTGGTGGTGGACTATTAGATTTAGGCGGAGAGAGAGAGAGAGCTTAATATATTATTATTATTATTATTTTTTTTTTTGGTCCCAAAAGTAAGGGGAAGGGTCCGATCGCCAAACTTGTAAGAGTCGCGATTCATGCTTGCCTCCCTTTGAGGCTCCTCCTGCCCAACTGCTTTCGTGGACTGCTTGAAAGCCAAGCCCCCACACACCTCCGTGATTTTCTTTCCTTTTTCTTTCCCATTTTCTAGTTTCTAATTTCGTACTATCAATAAACTCCTTCTTGCTGCGGAGACTATCTACAATAATCATTGTATGAGCTGTAGGAGTATTTGAACAGTTAGATTCAGATTGTCAAATTTTGGACATAATATGAAGACAATAGACGTTAGCGAGGTAATATATATGAATTATTTGATTTCAAATTCAACTAAGAGTGCATACAACATGATGAATATGTTGATCAAATTATGTGAATCGAACTTAATACATTTTCCGAATCAAATGCATTTACTACACTAGAGTAAAACAAATAAATGTAATATAGATCAAACATCTGGATCTCACTCCATGCAGAATAATTTGGTAATATGGGAAGGTATACAGCTAGATTGATATCTGCCTAATTTGGTACATGTTTTGCCGTATCATATAAATATGGTCAATAAATTTATTGGTTGGTCGATGACTCGGCCTATGGGAATGTTTGAGAACGTATGTATGTGTTGTGTATACTAAAACTATTATATGATCGAGAGGATAAGAGCAATATTTGATAAGAAAAGATGTTAATTAGTACGTGTAGGATAAGGTCCATATACATACATACATACATACATATATATATATATATATATATTGTTTTAAGAGATTGGAAATATGCATCAATTCAAGGGTTTGATGGCAACGTACGTGTAGGGTTTGGTCATTTAAGGTTGTCAACTACGACTGATTAGATCGGCACTCCCATCTTTTTCCTCCACATCCATATTTATTATTAGCTCTGGAAATTATCTTCTTTGTTACGATATATGTGTGTGTGTGTGTGTGTTACGTGCACTTGTTGTTGCCGCATATACAAGGCAACAAGCAAGGCCCCAAAACCTAAATGCTATTTTTCTGATGGGACAAGGCATCTCATCAAACTCTCAATCTCTTTACTGTAACACATATTCTTTTATTGTATATTGCACTACTGTTTAGTGTTTTTATTTGCATGTAAAATGTTTTAGGTTTGACTCATGGTGGAAACGAGTTTAATGTCACATTATTGTGATATACCAGTAGTTAAGTTTGAAATTTGAAAATTTTTAATGTAAATATGTAGTTATATTAAAAAAGTAGTGGCTTGGATAAGTTATCCCTTGTGTTTGCTTATTAATTAGGAAAGCAAAAGATGGTTTTCACAACTATATTTGGTCCCATATGACTACGAAATCTTATCAATTAGTTTTTAACAAGGATGGTACTGTCAACACATGTTTTTTTGTTATCTCTCATGTATTTTTTTGGTTCATTTTTATCTTATAATCTACTTTAATTTATTCGATTCAACGATAAAAAATTAATTGAAATATTTGAACAATAAAAAAGAGTGTGTGAAGGCTAGTTATATGAAAAGAGTCCATATTAACAATGAACAAAAACTAATACAATATTCAAACAACTTTGAGTCTCAGATATTTTTACAGTCCATATAATACGTCCTTCCATATATATCTTGAAGAAGGGATTTCCAAGTCTTTTCCCCTCTCTGGCAAATTCTTATCCACAATAATCCGTCTTCCATTTTTTTATTGACAAGAATGATAATAGGGGGGCACTAGTAGTAATCGTCGTGTTTCATTTATTTTTCTGGGCAGCGTGCACGCTCGATCGGCATGTATGAAGGAGTTGTATGTGTCACACACACACACACACACACACGTACATGCATATTAATTTGATTATATATACTCCTGTCATAGTTGATATATCATTGCTGTGGTTGGTTTAGTTGTCCATGAGATATATATGTATGTATGTATGTATGTATAGTTAGCAAGGGATGCTTGCGACAATTCCATATTTATCCCCTAAATCGTTTAGACCAAAAAATGGATCCCTCTTAAAGTGACTCTAAACCAACCAGTACATACCAACACATGCAAACTCCTTCTTTCTTCTCGGTTTATTTTCTGGTAGAAACAAGAAATAAAAATTGTAGTTGTTAATGAAGTAATTAATTGGTTATATTCAACTTCTAACATTAGTCATATGATTTGCCTTGATGATCGTATTTTTTTGTTTTTCTTTCAGTATATGAAATTCAAAAGTAGAGGGCAAGCCAATTGGGAATCTTAAATACCTAATTCACAAAAAACGACAACGAATCTATTTTGGCATGCGATGGACTGCTTTCTTTTTTACCTATGTTTTTTTTTTTTTTTGCTCTCTTTTGTCACGGACAACTTTGCAGTTTTATATATTTCACAAATTACAATTCAGGTTGTCTCTCACAACCATATACACAAACACGATGAAAGTACTTTTATAATCAAGTTTTCGTAAAAATACGAGTAAATTATTAAAAAAACACTTAAAATACATGCAAAAAGCAATATAACTGGCCTAATTAGACTTATATTAACATGCACCCCTCTTCACTTTACAATCAATTAAAATATATAATATATATTATTAAATAAAATATTCAATCATCACCGCACATCACGTAATTTACAAAATATAATTAAAAGATATGATTTCTCTATAATTTTCTATAATAAACACTTTGTTTTCTTTAAAAGAATAAAAAAGCAAAAGCACACAGCCCCATGCATACACACACATATATATATAAATATATATATGTATATATGTATTAGTTGGAGCTAGTTGCAAGTCTTGGCACCATACCACATGCATCTTCACTTATCTGAATCTTATTCAAAAAGGGAAAAGTGCAGTTTCTGAATTTCTATTCACTGCTCGTCCTCACTTGGTTTCACTATTATACGTAAAGAAACGTTAGGATTTTTTTTTTTTTTAAGTGAGACTTTTAATAGATTCTCTATCATTTTATTTTTTTGACACAGTACATTATAATGTTGGCATAAAAATTATGATAAAAAATATGGTAACAAAAAATCTATAAAAAATCCAACTTTTAAAAAATCTTCTTAGCATTTCTTTTTTGTACGACTAACTGAATTTGAATTCAACACTCATTGGAGACTATTGTTTACTGGTTCAGAGAGAGTTAACGGAACATGACACGTTGCGTACACGTGGTATACGGACCCCATCCAGTTACAGAGGCAATTTCCAATTTTGCATTACTTCTGTTCATATATAATTACATGTACATATACACAGTTGTTGAATAAATATTGTGTTGAATTTGTTTATTCTCTGACGCTAACAAATTGTTTTGATTGAAGGACTGTTGAATCAGCATCTTATTTAAGTAAAAATAAATGGCAATGGAATATATTCTCTTTTTATGGTCTTTAGTTATGCAGCATGCTTTCGATGCCTACACTTCGATATACTCTGCATCTCAAAAGGCGCCGTCTGGTCTGGCCTGGGAATCCGGTAATCAAGCTGGCGAGGAGATAATTTATTTATGGCCTAATTGGATTATAAGTTTCCGTGGTAACAGAATAGTTGGAAGATAATCATGTAATAAAAATAAAAAAAAACTAGAATTTAAGCTTATGTGGTGAAGTTTATTAGGATTTATGCCCAAAATTGAAAATTCCGTTAACTTTGTGTTAATTATTAGCATGTGAGCCATAAATATTAGGCTAAAATGAAACTCTTTGTTAATTGTTAGCACGTGGGGCTGGCCCACGTGCTAATAATTAACCGAAAGTTTACAGATATTTTAATTTTGGATACAAATCCTAACAAACTTTACAACATAAGCTTAAATCCTAATTTTTTTTACCATAGGGGTTATCTTTCAACTACCATGTCACTACAGGGACATTGCGGATCCAGGATTTTAAACTCAGAAGGTCCCAATTATAAAAGTCAAAAAATTTATAAACAAAAATAACATTGAAAATTTAAATATAATACATTTCATTTAAAATCATATGCAAAACCATATTACAAATTATAAAATCATAATTCAAGCGTCCATTACGAGGTTTCATAAGTTACTAGGGAGTACCTAAGTTATTGATTATCTAATATGAACCACTAAATTTAAAACACCGGTCAAATAAAACTCTTCCCAAACTCCCACTATTTTTCTAACCAAACACACCATTTTTCTCTTTTACTAGTTTCCAAACATCCACCTTCACTCTTACTAAGAACAAAGTTGCCATACCTCCACCAACCGCCTCCCTCCCCATTCTCCCGAAGCCATGGCAGCTCCACCCCTAAATTTCACCAACCATTGACAGTTCATATGCATCTTACTAACATTATGAAGGAAATTTCAGCCATAAGAAAAATTACTAAGATGGTTGAAATAATTTTGGGAAATTTGGACTTATGTACTGCCCCGCCAGACGATAGAGAAAGGTTGGAGGAGAAGTGGGTGGCACCGATGGATTAGACCATGGCAGAAGTAAGGAGGAGAGAGTAGGAAGAGTCCCTATTTTCTTTTTTCTCCGTGCGCGGTCATCTTCTCCGAGAAGAAGATAGCCACTGCAACCTGCAACCTACAACCTGCACAGACCTCATGCTCAAGTACGAGGGGTCCCTGGAAAATTTATAGCAGCGATTTAGGATCGCCGACGGGACTAGGGACCTCCCAGGTCCCTATGTGGATCCGCCCTTGCACGGGGACTATTAATCCAATAAGCCATTTATATATGAATGTAAAAATAGTTCCTGAAATTGGCATAGCTCCTCATTTTGGTCCTTGAAATTTGAAGTCAATAGAAGTGGTCATTGAGTTTGTCCACCATCAATTATTTTAATAATTATGTAAAAAATCTCTGTTAAATAAGGATAAAATAGCAAAAGTACCCTCAACTTTTGTCAAATCATTTTGGCTCATGGTTTATTAAGTCAAGGGTATTTTGTCCATTTGGTCCTTGTTTAACATAATTTTTAATGGAATGACCAAAATGATTGATGGCGGATAAACTATGATTTCAAGGACCAAAATGAAGAGTTACACAAATTTCAATAACCATTTTAGTGAAAAAGTCTATGTGAATAATATCATGGCATTGACAAGGGCTTGTAAACTTAGTTTAGTTCATATTCTATCGTCTCACAAGTATACTTATGTTGCTAGACTATAAACATTTATAGAATAAAAATAAACATGGTTCATCATTTCGTACTCGTTACTTGTGACAAGTTGAAATAAAGAAGATTTATGGAATTGTTATTACCATACGGGACGATGATTCTCAGTTTGGCAAGAAGTGGAACATTTACAAGATAATATTATGGGATTCGTTATAAAGATTAGATGGATGTCGAGCAAAGAATTGTCTAGTTGAAAATGATTGTTGTAAGCACACATGGTCATGGACACAGTGGAGTCGATGCGGATAGACGGTTTGATTGTAAAGTGTGTATCACCCTTTATGAGTCTTTGAGTTGTTCCGCTCAGCCACTTTTTACGGCATGCTAGATATTTTGATTCAGGAATCAGCATGTTATTACACAATTAACTAACACATTTGATTTGAGGGTCGGAATGACCACGAACTGGCCTCAAAGAGTGTCAAACACATGGGAAGGGTTCAAGTCATCAAGTCCAAAATGTCGGACAACGTGCTTGTATAGTACTCTGGTTGAGTCTTATTTGAAGGGTCCTCCAGAGCAGATTGAGTCGTCACACCTGTTGCAAAATTTGCGACCACCATTACGAGTATCAGCATGTTAATCAACAATTACATCAATTACTTTAGCATTGCAATATGAATAGAAACTCTCTTACCCGAAAGAACGAGTAGAGTTCTGCAGCCAGCATTCTGGCCAAACAATATATCAGTATCTAATCTGTCACCCACCATACACATTTTGGAGCAACTAATATTGAATCTGCAAACGAAAAGGCAATGAGTCGGAAACGTTCTCTTCATGATTGCAAAAATACACAATAAAGGCATGTATATGACATGAAGTTTGAAAACCAACGTTGACCTCTATTCTCTACGAACAATCATATGCCGTCATGCAATTCAAGTGTTCATATTCTATATGGGATACCATTGTCTTTTTTGGCAGTTGCATAATGTGGAGTTCACTCACTTGAAATTTCAGACAATGATCTATTCTTTAGGAATTTTGTTCTTTCAAAAATTATGTACAAAGGTAAACAATTCTTACTTCTTTAACAAAAATTCCATCAGGAAATTAGATGGCTTTCCAACTACAATAGGCTCCTTCTGGGTGGATCCACAGATTGCAGCTACCATACACCCCGCACCTGAAACCCAACAAGGGAAGTACTATAAAGCAAAGTTTTAAACCTTATATTTGATGTTACGTTGATTTTCATCAAGAAGTGGAAGGGAAAGAAAAAAGAACCAGGCCATTCTTGTAAATCAGTCATGTGTCCAACTGCATCTCTATTGGTTGCAATGAAAAGACATCCTGGATTTTCACGTATGCAGAGGGTTCCATATCTGACAGGTAAAAGATCTATAGTCAAGTAGTGAAGACAAATGTTTTAGTACTCGGCATCATCTGTGTGGTTCGTATGAGCAAAACTGAATATTCTGCCCTAGACTGGAAACTGGAGAGAATGGAGCAAGGATTTTAACGTTCTTACTGAAGCTTGTAATAGTTAATATACTGGTCTAGTCCAACCACAACTGCTCCAACCTGCGAATAGGAGTTGCAAAATTTTTAGACTCTGCAGAAAGAAGTCACGGGTCAAAACAATTACGGGCAAGAGGTTACATTACACTCTTATCATGTTCAAAGAGACAATTTGATTTCAGCTGCGCAGTTTTTCTCCCATCTTCCTGCATTGTAATGTTTCATCAGTTTCTTCTAATGCAAGATTTCCATGATAATAAGAAAAGAAACCACATTCAAATATGTTATAAGCCTAATGCTAGCATGAATCATTTCCATAACACACACGAGAATGAACACGGTTTAGCAAGTATCTCTGTGGTACAAAAACATTGGGGGTTCAAATACACTATAGCCTATACTTGTCAAAATGCTTGTATCTGTTTCAGTTGAGCTGTCTTGCTAAAATATCAAACAGTGGTTACTTGTTCAGTGCAGTAAGTTTCTTAAGGCAATTCAAGCTGTCCTCAACTACTAAGCTTATATCAAGCATTTACAAAACACCAGATGCAAGCAACACCCTAATGCGCAGGATGAGAAACGGGATTCACCCATCTTCATAATCATGGTTCTTGAAGATGAAAGTGAAACTAGTGAATGAAGCAAACAAAATTAAGTTGGGATGTAAATATAACAAGTTATAAGTTCCCAAAAGAAGAAACGATTCTGAAAAGTTCAAAATAGGGAGGTCTCTAATTTCTAAAGCCAGGGCAGGCCAGCAGCAGAGATACAGAGATAACTACATGGTTTTCTTAACTATCTCCGTTCATGAGAGTAAGGGGAAAAAGCTCTACAGTCTATCAGTCCAATTTTCCTCTCGGGCTCATTTGGTATAGAAGATAGGATTTGAATGGATAAGCAACTATAGACAAGGTTTGTTGAAGGAAGAAATGAAAACATTGTGACCAACTTGGAGGTAGGAGATCTATTACTTGTTAAGCAAAACTTATCTATTCCATCCACCTAACCAAGGAATGATTAGAATGGAGGAGTTTCCTTCATGCTTAATCCCCTTCTAATCCCCTCATATGAAAAATCATTCCCTTTCCCTTTACTATACCTTGAATTTAGACGGTTATCCATTCCAATCCCATCATAGAGGGTTATCCAAACTAGGTCTTCAAGCCCAAAAGATCAACTGAAGAAAACAAAAAAACAAACAAAAAGGAAAAAGAGAAGAGACAAGATGAGCTTACGGGGCCACCGAGAGCTGTAAATCCAGCAAGCTGCAGCTCTTCCAATATGCCTTGCTCCCCTATCACATAAACCTGCAAAGAAAGCAAGCAATGTAAGAACAGAAAGACAATGAAAAACTTACAAAAAGAAGAATAAGCAGCAAACCTTCTTGTGTTTGGGGAAGTTAATGAGTTGCAAGTACATAGCAGCGGCAAAGGATGAAGAGAATATCTCATCCTACAAATACAACGGATTTGATTCAACAAAATCAAGTATATTAAAGATTTCGAAGAGTGACAGAAAAAGAATTGAGAGAGGAGAGGTCACCTCAGAAACCGAAATGCCGAGGGAAAGGAACTTGTCCGCGTATTGCTTTCTTGATTTTGTGGAATTGTTGGTAACGAACACCAGCTTCTTCCCCTAATTTATCACTAAATCATTAGTTGGTTAATTTACTGTGATTATTGAATAAATCAGAATGACAGTAGCTTTTTTTTTTTCAAAAATAAAAAATTGAAACGGAAACCGGAAATGGAGAGAGAGAGAGAGAGAGAGAGAGAGAGAGTGTGTGTGTGTGCCTTTGATCGTAGGAAGTGGAGTGTCTGAGGGACGCCATCGATGAGCTTATCGCCCTTCCAAATGACACCTGCTCAGTGCAATTATCATAAATAAGAAATGCTGAAACAAAAATTATAAAAATAAATAAATTCAAATGGAGGATCTGCATTTTTCAATTGAATATTGGTGGAATATCAAAGTATAACAATTGTATTGAAAATGACAACAAATAAAGGGTATAAGAAAGAAGAAAGGTAGATAAAGGACCATCGCAGTCGAAGAGAAAAGCTTCGATAGAATCCAGGAGCTGGTTCGCGTTCTGACGCGAAAGCAGCTGAGACTCGGACAGGGAGGAGTTCATCGTCAGGGTTAGGGTTTGGGACTGCAAATACACTACTATTACTCTTAGACAGACGTCACAGACCCAGTCATTCAGTCAATCCACTGAACCTGGAGGGGAGGGGAGGGAAGTGGAGGGAAACAGGACAAGCCATGTCACTGTTACTAAAGGGCCAATCAGCAAAGCAATAATAAGCCAATATCTCCTGGGCCTCGTCACCCAAACCCACATATCGGTTGCAGGGCTTGCTCGGCGAATGATTTTTTTTTTTAATTTTTATTAAACAAATGATATAATCTACACTAAGGGAGTGAATGAGTGGATTAAGTCTCACAATAGGTTACCAATAATGTGATTCAAATTCACCTTCAGCTAAAACCGAACCTAAAACCTCTCACTTACAAGTGAAGAGAAATACCACTAAATCGTAGTACTACGATCTAATGGTATTCCTCCTCAATTGTAAGTGAGAGGTCCTAGATTCGATTCTCACCGAAGATAGTTGAACCACATTATTTTGACAAATCCATTGTAAGACTTAGCCTACCCCCCACCCCTTTAGCGTAAATAAAAAAAAAAGCAAAAATTGTTTGTGCGAAATTCTTTTAGTGCCCATATTTTTTATTTTTAGTTAGAGGAAATTATAGCAATGATCCCTCAACTTTAACTCAATTGGAGTAATAGTCTTTCAACTAAAAATCCATAATCATTGGTCCCTTAACTCATCAAAACGTGCAGCTATGGTCATTTGCATCAACCCCGTTAGAATTTCCATTAAAATAAGTCACATGCCACGCATATGAGGCTGAATCAAAAGGTAAATATGAAAAACCAAATGAAAAAAATTGTAGCAATGATCCCTCAATTTTAACTCAATTGGAGAAATGGTCTCACAACTTTAACTCAATTGGAGCAATGATCCTCCAATATGAGTCATTCTCTCTTTCAGTTATATACAAAAGGTATAATAATAATTTTATTAGTTTTTTTTATTAACAAGCAGAATTATATTGATATGTAGTTTAAATTATTTAGCAACTTATATTGAGTAGCCAAGTTCACCACTAATTTATAATAAAGTTTTTTGTGATAAAATTCTACACTTATTAAAATGTGCATGTGAACAATATGAACGTTGATTATGATTACCAAGGCTAGTAATTACTTGCATCGAAGCCTTTTATAATACAATTTTGTTGACGCAGTATGTACAAAAATTTGTCACACTCAATGCGTCAATTTCGACTTTACCTAATAATGGAAATGCAACATGAACAAAGAAAGAAATAATTGAGAGAGGGAGAGAGAGAACGAAAAGCTGAATTCCAATACGGCGGCTGTAGGCTCTAGTTAATTAACTAAAGTCGTTGATTTGTATGAAAAGAAATAATGAGGGAGGGCCCCTCTCTTCTTCTTCTTCTGTTGTTCAATATTGGTGGCTGGGTTTCTCACTCCGTGCGTAGGGGACAATCGACAATGACACCCTGGCTGGCTGGTGTGAATACTGCTGTGCTGTCTTGCTGGGGTGGAAGGCGCTAATAAAGAAACAAGCAAACAAACAAATAGGAGAATCATCCATTATGCTATCCCACCGGTCGCCAATGGGGTGCTGGCCCTCGATTCCTTCCATGTAATGGGAATTGGATTTTGTCTTTCTATCTTATGACCCTCACCCTCTCTGCTAACTACGATTCTGCCATTGTCCCTCTCCTGCTTGGTAGTTGGTAGTTGGTAGTTGGCACTGGTTGGACGAAATTGACTCAAACCAAACCACTAAAATATTATTTGACACAATAGGTCCCACATGATTTCTTGATCTCGAAATAATAAGCACGAAACACAACTTACATATGACAATGCATTTTTTAAATTGATACACTACCTGTTTCATGTAAATCATTTTCTACTTTGTTTTAATAAAAGTTGCGGTGGGTTACCCTTAAATATACACAAACACAACTTGTCAGAAAACAAAAGAAAAAAAAACCAATAATGTGACCTGAAGTGAGAAAATGAAGAATGGCAACAAGTGCAAATTGTGAGAGAATTGGTACCCAAATGCGGCAGAAGATCGAGTTTAAAAGCTGAAAGTGAGCGACCTGTTTATTTATTTCCCTCTGTACTATTAAGTCGTGTCGTCTATACAAGGCACATCTCTCTCCCTCTCTGTGAGTCTGTGAGTATCTTGGGAGGGCTCTGAGACTAGCAGTGTCTGTGTGGTGGCGGATTAGATTGGCAAAACTGACAATGGCGGATCTCAAGTCAAAGTTTCTGAAGGTGTACTCCGTTCTGAAATCGGAGCTGTTGGAAGACCCTGCTTTCGACTTCACCAAGGACTCTCGCCAATGGGTCGAGCGGGTATTGATGTCATCATTTTTCACTTTTACCATCACCAATTCAATTCAATTCAATGATTAATGAATATATTTGGTATCGCTGTCTATTTTCTCTTAGTTGTTATTAGTAACGTTTCAGCTCCATAACCATAATCCATCAACTGTTTCCTTGTTTTGTTTATGATATCAAAACAACACCTCATAAGTCAAAACATCTGATTCAATTTCAGTAGTCTATGGTCGTCGGAATTTTACATTTACATTTACATTTGATTTACACACATCATTACTACTGACTGACTGACTGACTGACTGCCTGCCTGCCTGCCTGCCTGCCCGCCCAATTTACTTTTCTCTGTTACAGATGCTGGACTACAATGTGCCTGGAGGTCAGACTTCAATTTCATCTCAACTTTTCAATTAAGCAAAATTCAATTCGTCAGCTTGTCCTTCAACTTATGCTGTCAAAGGATTCTGACTCTTATCCTGTCCTTCAGGAAAGCTCAATCGGGGATTGTCTGTTATTGACAGCTATCAGTTGTTGCAACAAGGAAGGGAATTAACTGAAGATGAAATCTTCCTGGCCAGCGCTCTCGGTTGGTGCATCGAATGGGTAAGGAAATTAAACCACTTCCATTCTCTTTTGAACCTCACAGTTATTTTCTACGTTTTTTGTTTTGTTTTGCTTCTTGCGCATTACACTAGCGCATTGCATGACAAGCTTACTTTTTTGTTATGGTCACACTACTTGCAGCTTCAAGCATTTTTTCTGGTTCTTGATGACATCATGGATGGCTCTCACACACGGCGTGGTCAACCTTGCTGGTTTAGATTGCCCAAGGTTTGTAGGAAGAGCAAATATATGTACATTTAAAATTTATTCATTTATTTATTTTTGCGTTGTCATTGTTGCCTTGTTGGTAAATCAATTAACTTGAGAAACTGTATCATGTAGGTTGGGATGATTGCGGTAAATGATGGTGTTGTGCTTCGAAACCATATCCCAAGGATTCTCAGAAAGTACTTCAGAGAAAAGCCATATTACGTGGATCTTCTTGATTTGTTCAATGAGGTAGGTGGACTTGCAGATTGTTTGCCAGATCATTTTTCCGCTTTAATGGAGAGCTAAACGCTAGCTTATGTCATGTTTACGCAGGTGGAATTTCAAACTGCCTCAGGTCAGATGATAGATTTGATCACTACTATCGAAGGAGAAAAAGATCTATCCAAATACTCATTGTCAATGTAAGTGAAAATCGTACAAGATCATTGCCATTTGCCACTAACAAAATGCTTGTAGACATGCTAAGATTTTAATACAAGTAACCAGCCCATATGCTGTTTCCTATTATGAAGTTAATGCACGATGCTGCAGAAAAGAATGCAAGAATTTGCATGAAATTCACAAATGCACGTTGAGAAATGAATTTGTTACAGAGACTAATCCTTTGCCTTCTTTTGTATGGTATATTCATAAGCCTTCACTATTGGACCAATTTGCCATCTTAATTTGTAATGCTTAATTCCTTATACATTCGGTAATCTATGGGTTATAAAGGTCCAAACAGTCTAAACAGCTTGAGTTGATGACCACTTATTGAATTCCTTTAGATAGGCTATGAAGTTTAGCCAAGGTATGCCAGTGGAGTTAAATCTCACCGTCTGATTGAATGTTTCTCTGATATTATTCTGACATCCATGGCCAATGTTCTCACTACTTTGGATAAGAAATATTCATTTGGGGTGTCGGGTATGTTAAAAGTTGGAACCTCTTCAGACCTTTTAGTAGGCTATGGTATGGTGAGCAGGGTAACCGGAGACAAGTTTCACAATGTGACTAGTTATTCAAATAATTAACATATTATTCTCTATTTATGTCTAGTTGTAGTATGATATTTCAATTTATAAACAAATGGTTTGGATCTTTTGCAGTCACCGCCGTATTGTTCAGTACAAGACTGCCTATTACTCATTTTACCTTTCCGTAAGTAGATACTTCTTTAGCACTTAAAGCAATCAATACTTGAACTGTTAGTATTCCTCAATGCTGTTTCAGTTTTTGTGCGGGAACGCTATTGTAAACCAGCATGTTTACTTATAATCTATACCTAGTCTGTGAAATTTGATGTAACTTAGTACATCCTTGTTCCCAGTACATAAACTCCTTTGGTCTTTGTTTAAATCAATAAGAAGTCTAATTTGAGAAAGATACGAGCCGTTTTGGTTCCTTTTTCTGGATTGATATCATAAGATATGTACATGCCACATCCTGTCACATGTCCTCTTATTTTGTTCAGATGTTTTATAATGAAAGATTTGGCTAACCCTAACCGTTTGCTATCTACTCAGGTTGCATGTGCATTGCTTATGTCAGGTGAGGAACTGGAAAAACATATTGACGTAAAAAACATTCTTGTTGAGATGGGGATCTACTTTCAAGTACAGGTAAATGTTTTGTTGAATACACAAAAACAGAATCCCTCCGCACAATGGAACTCTTCAATTGCTTTTGTTAACTCTCTTTTTTTCCTTTGTTTTAAATAGGATGATTATTTGGATTGCTTTGGTGATCCGGAAACGATTGGTAAGGTGAGATTCAGGGAGACGGCCTTAAATATTTCTCTCGTGTTTCTTATTTGATGGGAGTTGAGTTGTAATAAGTAGTTTGTGATATCAGATAGGAACAGATATTGAAGATTTCAAGTGCTCTTGGTTGGTGGTGAAAGCTTTGGAACTCTGCAATGAGGAACAAAAGAAAGTACTACATGTAAGAATCTTATATATATTTTCTAATCAGCGTTAAATTTTCTCACTCACTAAGTCACAAATGAATATGATTTGTGTGCGTATTTGTGCACGCAGGAGAATTATGGGAAACCAGACCCAGAAAATGTGGCAAAAGTAAAGGCCCTCTACAAAGAAGTCGATATTGAGGTTTGAACTTAATTGATTGTGTATGATGAATTGTTATAGTATAAGATGACTGGTAGATGCTGAATTGAGATTGTGATCGTGATTGTGCTAGGGTGTATTTGCGGATTATGAGAGCAAAAGCTACAAGAAACTGACGAGTTGGATTGAAGGGCACCCAAGCAAAGCGGTGCAAGCTGTGTTGAAGTCCTTCTTGGGCAAGATTTACAAGAGGCAGAAATAGAAATCTCAGATATGGATTCAGTTCAGCCCCTCATCTTTGTTTTTGGCTGCTGATGATTTATGCTTTCCATTTATTTTTTCTGAAAAAAAGAAAAGAAAAGAAAAAGGAATAGCTTATCCCACTATCGAAGAATGAATATTGTTGTATTTGTAATAAAACATGGAGTTGCAGACATGCAGTTGAGTCAGTTAAGGGTCAATTATTAGTTAATTTATCACAAGTGTTGTTGATTAATTGTTGAATACAGAGACTAAGCATCGTCAATTAATATTATCATTCTCATCTCAAAGTTTCTCAGTTTCCAGTTGAGAATATTAAACAACCTCCGGCCTCCTGCTAAGATTCAGATTGATCTACGATCCAAATATTATATAATATAACAAGAAACATGAGATCATGGTAAGTTTGTAATTAATATGTGATTGATGTACCACACGCAGTGTTCTAAAACGCCCTTCCCTAAGCGCACTCATTATTGCCGAGATCATGGTCTACTTCTTCACATCCATCGTGCAACGCATGCAGTTATCGATAGCCTGAAGAATCATGGTATACATTTTCGAGTACTAGCTACAACATTACGTATGTTGGTACCGTAGTATATAAACTTGAGGGCGAAAGAGAGATTTTGTTGATTTACTAGGTGATGATTGCGGTTGGCCGCAACTATGATTTATTTCTAATGGTATTTCTCTTTATTTGTAAGTGAGAGGTGTTATGTTCAATTATCGTCAAAAATGAATTTGAACAACATTATTGCAAGCTCATCCCATTGTGAGTCTTAGCCAGATAATATCATTTGTTCAAAAAAAAAAAAGAAAAGAAGAAAAGAAAAAGAAATAGTGTTTAGATAAGTTAGACCCCCACCTAGGTCGTGACTCTCAGCTAAAACAAAAATAAATAACTTTTATTTTTTATTTTATTTTTTCATTAGGTACTTGATCAACACTCATTATTCCCCATGCTTTTAAACTTTCAATACGTTATAGTACTTGACAAGTTTTATGTCATTTTATTTTGTAAGTTTTGTATCTAAATACAATTATGTATTTTTTTTAAATATAGATAAACATTTTTATTTATATGTTATATAAGACCATCTCCAATGGTTGGGCTAAAAGCCAAATATTTTAGCCCGGAAAATTTAGCTTTTAGCCCAGAAACAACTTTTCTGCTCCAACCGTTCTAGCCTAAAATTTTAGCCCGGGATTATTAAAGAATGAACTTAGGCTATTTTTTTTTGTTAAATTAAATTTAAAAAATAAATAAATATGTAGACTATCGTAAATTAATTTTATAAACATTTTAATCTAAAAAAATTTAAATTCCGATAAATATTGGGTGGAGTCCACTCTGATTTCTGAGCTAAATTTTGGGGGGAATTTGGCCTTCGTTTAGCATTTAGCATTTAGCCCCAATTTTCCCCTTAGGTTGGAGTGGGTTTGGGGGAAAATTTTGAGGAATAATTTGGCTTTTAGCCCACCATTGGAGTTGGTTTAAGAAGTTAACTAAAATTAAAAAACCGCCGAGCGCCCGCCTAAATGCTTACTAGGCCTCTGCCTTCCATGCGCATAAAGCCTTTTGGGACATTGATCACGCGTGACCGGGTCGACTTCATTCCAATGCGTTAGCTTAGCTAGAAAATTACGAAAATGTAGGATCAAGCTTGCAATGCTTCTGTTATGCTGCTATGCATGGTGATGTTTCTGAAGTACTAAAATGCGATTTTTTTTTTTTTAGTATAACGATGTATTTTACATTAAAGATATGAGAAGTTCGGCTAAATTACATAATGGACAATCTAATTTGGTATCGAATTTGTTATCTATGAAATTCAAATCTAAGACATTTTACTTACAAGTGATGAAGAATATCATCGTAATACTGTGTGGCAACGTGAACTCGAGTAGCAGTACAAATTTCAGAACAAGGAGAGACAAAATCCTCCAAAAATTGGTGCAATTAAACAAATAAAATCGGCGGAAACTAAGAAGGAAGTAAACTAAAAAACAGTATTAATCATTTCACGATACAATAGAAGAAGAAGGCAACTATCTCCTAATCTATTTTATTACAAACCACTCTTTAAAAGGAAATTAGAGAAATTAAAAAACGATTTAATTAAGAAAATAATAGAAAGTCAAATATCCTAGGTGCAGTATGAAATTGAACCAAAAGTCTCTCAGCTTTTAAGATTTCAACTTTTAATTGAAAATTCTCCCCATCTTTCCCTTCCCTTTCCATTTTTTATCATCCCTTTCTTTTATCCCAAAAACAAAAAAACGTCGTCTCTTTGTTCCTTGCTGTGAAACCGTTGGGTTCCTGTAGCGTCTCGTCCCGATCTCCTCCTTCAGTCATTCAATCCTTCAATCTGTTTTCTTCTTTTGTATGACCTGTGAGCTTTCATTTTGCGTATTATTCAGAAAGAAATCCAGATCAGATCAGGCGATTGCTTCTTCCCGCATTACCATTACGTGACAAGAAGTCGTCGTCGTCGTCGGAGCTTTTCGTCCTCAAATTTTGATGTCTTTCCTTTTATCTTGTTCGTATAATTTACAATTCCCTTTTGGTTACAAGAATCAATTTTGACTGACGGCTTTGTTTTGTTCACAATTTGTAAATTGCCATACATCGTACAATCCAATACAATACGAAAGGAAGGCAGGCGGGCAGGAAGGATTGTGGTGCTTTTCTTATCCGTAGGTGGGTTGTGGTTTGCTGCATGAATTGAATTGTGGTGGTTAGATAGATTAGATAGAATTAGAACATCACAAGAAACAAAAGAAAAGATGAAGCTGGTGGTTCAAGTATTGGGGGCTCGGGATCTACCAGCGATGGATCTCAACGGCCTTAGCGATCCGTACGTGAAGGTGCAGCTGGGGAAGCACAAGCTCAGGACCAAAGTGGTCAAGAAGACCTTAAACCCCTATTGGGGGGAAGAGTTCACCTTCAGGGTCGACGACCTCAACGACGAGCTCGTCATCTCTGTCCTCGACGAGGACAAGTACTTCAACGACGACTTCGTTGGCTACGTCCGCATCCCTGTTTCCGAAGTCTTCGATGCCCGCAACAAGTCCCTTGAAACTGCTTGGCACCCTCTCCACCCCAAGAGTAAAAAATCCAAGAACAAGGATTGCGGTACTACTCTTACATTCTTCTGCTAAATTAAATGTGCCTACTTGCCTTTTCTTTTTCTTGTTAAAATTGCTCATACTTCCCGATGCACTAGTCTCCAAATCCAAATGCATACATTTCATGCTTTTCAAGTACAAAACTTGGGATTCTTGTCCCAAATTTGGAATGATAGCGTTGCTTACTGACAGGCAATACCAATACCCCATTTTTTGTGAATTCTAGCTACTTGTCATATTGTGGTTGGATTTGTCCCCAAGTTAGTTAATTTAAAATATTCCTTCGTATGATTTTCTTCCTGACAGGCGAGATTCTTCTTGCAATACATTTTTCTTCAAACAATTCATTCGTGGACTCGGCTTCTGAGGGTGGTGACATAGGAAGTGAATCACCTTCAAGGTCTTTCAGTGGTGTTTCAGAATCAGCTTCTCCTGTGAGAGTGAGACCAGAAGAAACAGCATCTTTTAAGGACTTTAAGGAAGAAAAGATTTGTTCTCAGAAGACCTTTGCTGGTCGCATAGCTCAGATATTCAATAAAAATCCAGATTTGCTTTCAGCCTCCTCTAGCAGAGTGGACTTGTCCGAGCTGTCTGAAACTGCTAAATCCGAAGTTTGTGAGAGCAGCCCTGAGGATCAGTCCTCTTCCGCTACATTTGAAGAATTGATGAAAACAATACAGTCACGAGATCAAGAGAGTGAAACCCCAACCAACTTACCAGGAGGAGTGCTTGTGGATCAACTGTACGTCACTCCACCCCAAGACCTAAACACATTACTATTTTCAACAGATTCAGGTTTTCAAAAAGAGGTGGCAGATGCGCAGGGAACTACAGAATTGGATCCGGGGCAATGGAAATTAGATACCAGCACCGAGAGCGTCAAAAGAGTGGTGACATACGTTAAGGCTGCAACTAAGTTGATAAAGGCTGTCAAAGGAACTGAGGACCAAACGTATCTCAAAGCCGACGGGAAGGTTTTTGCAGTTTTAGCAAGCGTAAGCACTCCTGATGTTCCCTATGGGCGAACTTTTAAGACGGAGTTGCTCTACTGCATAACACCTGGCCCCGAGCTGCCATCAGGAGAGCAATCTTCACGTCTGGTAATATCCTGGCGGATGAATTTTCTGCAGAGCACCATGATGAAAGGAATGATAGAAAATGGAGCTCGACAAGGTTTAAAGGAAAGTTTTGACCACTATGCTACTATATTGTCTCAGAATGTTAAGCCAGTCGATTCAAAGGATCTTGGATCCAATAAGGATCAGGTTTTGGCATCACTGCAAGCTGAACCCCAGTCTGATTGGAAGCTGGCAGTCCAGTATTTTGCCAATTTCACTGTGATCTCCACATTATTTATTGGATTGTATATGTTTGTACACATCTGGCTTGCCCAACCCAGCACCATTCAAGGGCTGGAATTTGTTGGGCTTGACTTGCCGGATTCAATTGGTGAATTCATCGTCTGTGGTGTCCTGGTTCTTCAAGGAGAAAGGGTGCTGGGGTTGATCTCACGCTTCATGCAGGCCAGAGCACAAAACGGTAACATCACTTTTAGTGGTTGCTTTTGCTTTTGCTTTTAAATAGTAACATACACTTAGCTTCTGCCTTTCTCTAGTTGACAGTGTGTCCTTTTACATCAAACAATTAGTTTCATTCTTGTCATTATCACTATCAATATACATGCCAGGTTTTTTATCTACTCCACAAATTCCAATGTTTTAGAGAACTACATTTTTTTACCGCTGCTTCTTGCTCAGCAATTATTTTTCTCTTCTACGGGGAGAACACAATGACGTGCATTTTTCAAACTGTTTCTAATCTGTTCAAAATCCAAATTTTCTTGATGTCCATATGTTTATCTTGTTATTTCTTTTGTTTTGAATATGATTTATCAGTATCATCTTTGTGTGTCTTATAGGCAGTGATCATGGAGTCAAAGCCCAAGGAGATGGTTGGTTGCTAACTGTTGCATTGATTGAAGGAAGTAACATAGCAGCTGTTGATTCGAGTGGGTTTTCTGATCCATACGTGGTGTTCACTTGCAATGGGAAAACTAGAACCAGCTCAATCAAGTTCCAGAAATGCGATCCTACATGGAATGGTGATTTTCCTTTGACCTGAGTTGTGTTGTTTGTTTGGTTTTAAATCTATACTTCTTCCAAATACATATGTCGGTGCATATTTTAACAATAATGTAAATCAAAAATTTAGAATATGTCTAGATTATGCAACTTATATAAACTAAATCTTGGTCTGATTTATTTCTTGTTGGTCTCTGCAGAAATATTTGAGTTTGATGCAATGGATGAACCTCCTTCTGTGTTGGATGTGGAAGTTTATGATTTTGATGGACCTTTTGATGAAGCTATCTCTCTGGGCCATGCTGAAATCAATTTTGTAAAAACTAATATATCAGATTTAGCTGACTTGTGGGTTCCTCTTCAAGGAAAGTTAGCTCAGGCATGCCAGTCAAAACTCCACCTGAGAATTTTCTTAAACAATACAAGAGGTGGCAACGTCGTAAATCAATTTTTAACTAAGATGGAGAAGGAGGTGGGAAAGAAGGTATAGCGGTCCATTATTTTGAAATTCACATTACCTGTGTTCTTTATCTTCTATTCCCTTTTCAGTAGTGTTCTACATACCTTTCATATGTTATTACTCATGATTGTTAGTGAAAACTATTCTAGATAACTGTGCGGTCTCCTCAAACAAATTCAGCATTCCAAAAACTGTTTGGGCTTCCACCAGAGGAATTTCTCATCAACGACTTTACCTGTCACTTGAAACGAAAAATGCCCCTGCAGGTGCTGTTAACATGGTTATACACCCTGTTGAAATTTTCCTATTGACATTAAACTTTCTATTTGTTTCTTGAAGCCATACTTGTAGAGCATGCAACCTTTTCTTGCTCCTCATTATCTGTTATATGTTAGTTATATTTCTTATCTTACAGTTCTTCCCATACAGGGCCGCCTATTTCTTTCTGCAAGAATAATTGGTTTCCATGCAAATTTATTTGGTCACAAGACAAAGTTCTTCTTCCTGTGGGAGGATATAGAGGATATTCAAGTTGTACCTCCAACTCTGTCATCTATGGGCAGTCCAATTATAGTCATGACTCTGCGGCAGGGTAGAGGTATGGATGCAAGACATGGTGCAAAGACACAAGATGAGGAAGGCAGGCTCAAGTTCCATTTCCAGTCCTTTGTATCTTTCAATGTAGCTAACAGGTACCCGAAGGACTTCCTAGAATACCATGGCATTCACTTCAACAAAGTAGAAACTTTTTTGTTAATTTTTGTGATCTTGTTCTCTCTTTAATTATTAGATATCATTTGTTTGGCATATGTTGGGTCTGCCCTTGCCTTCTTCTGACTTAGACTAGATCTCTGCCATTCCTTGCTCGTTTCTTTTGCTTGGTGGTGGTTTTGCACGAGTAACCCATCTCAACACTGACTTTACACCATTTTCTGAACAATTGATGTTTGCTTGGACATAAAGATTTGACTCACAACATCTGATGTTTCTGAATAGGACAATCATGGCTCTTTGGAAGGCTAGGTCTTTGAGTCCTGAGCAGAAGGTGAAAATAGTTGAAGAAGAATCCGATGTCAAGATCCAAGCTGAAGAGAGTGGGTCTTTCTTGGGCCTTGATGATGTCAGCATGTCTGAGGTTTATTCTGCAGCTCATTCCGTTCCTGTGAGCTCTCTCTCTCTCTCTCTCTCTCTCTCTCTCTCTCTCTCTCTCAGTGCATCTCTATTAGAACTAAGAATACACCTGCAACTCGCTTGTCCCCTTCTGCTGAACCTGTCTCATGGAATCAGAATAGCATAGCTTTCATCTAGATTATTTGCTGTGTGTGGTACTCATGACTATATGCACATCTGAGTTCTAATTATTTTAGTTTCTTCTCGACTGACCATTATATTTGTCTTGTTGGCGACAATAGACAAATTTCTTCATAGAGCTATTTGGCGGAGGTGAATTGGACCGTAGAGTTATGGAGAAAGCTGGTTGTCTTAACTACTCTTATACCCCATGGGAATCAGAGAAGGGCGATGTCTGTGTGAGGCAAATATATTACAGATTTGATAAACGTGTGTCCCAATATAGAGGAGAGGTGACTAGTACTCAGCAAAAATCCCGACTCCCTGATAGAAATGGTTGGCTTGTACAAGAGGTCTCGACCCTCCATGCAGTACCGCTTGGCGACTATTTCAATGTATGGATGACATTGAACTTATGCAGAATTCTGTTTAATAATCCTTATTTGTAAATGTGTCCCCCTTGAGTCACTAGTTTCACTACATGATTGACTAGTCCCTTTTCACAATTTGCAGCTTCACGTTCGATACCAAATCGAGGATTTGCCCTCAACACCAAAGGGATGCCAGGTAAAAGTATACTTTGGGGTTGAGTGGCTCAAAAGCACTCGGCATCAGAAAAGAATTACAAAAAACGTGCTTAAGAATCTGCAAGATCGCCTGAAGGACACCTTCAGTGTAGTTGAGAAGGAATTCACGATATAGTGGGTGGATTGGGTGCATTTCTGGGATTGTAGACATTTGACACGAAGAGTGCTGATATGACAGCTTGGATTGAGCTTGACTGGGTGATATGCCAGCTAGGAGACAATGAAAAAGTCTATAAGCTTTGGCTTGCAGAGGTGCGGCGGTAACATATGTATGATGGATGTGGTGGATGTGAAGGTGTAAGTGTGTATGTTGATGCTCCAGGGAGTACCGTGGTCCTGGACGAGACAGTGCTTAGTGTTTCTGGGACAGAATCCTGGACTAGTTTAGGAGGAGGAGGAGGGGTTTTTGGTAGTTGCTGGTTGTGAATAACAGGTGCAGGTTATGCAATAACCTTCTAGTGTATATGGAAGTGGCAGGTCTAGGTTTTTGTGGTCTTGCCGTTTCTAGCCGAACAGCAGGCGCACCTCGCTGTTGGTGGTGGTGGCCCTGGCGGTGCTTATTCCTTTAGAATAGCTCAAACTTGTACCGATTTCATTTGTATTTGTTTGAATTATGAATAGCAATACGAAATTGTTGAAGAGATGTGGCTATATGTACATGACGGTTTGAAGCTTGTAGAGGAACCATTTTGTATAACTTGAACCTTCATTGCTTCCTTCCGGTGTCAATTGTTAACTTGAGATGAGGAATTGTAATTTATAGCTCCTTGGTTATTTAAAACTAAACTATTATTAGCGCTATAAAAAAGATTATTACCCTAAACCCAAATGCCAAGCGGGGATTAAACGCTTGTGTTTTCCCTTCTAGAGTAAAATGCCTAAACAAAATTGGATCAATCACAAAACCAACCAAATACATCATCAAGTAATATTGCAATATATATATATATATATTTATTTTTTTTTGTTCCCCCAAACATTGCAATATATTTGAAAAAATGAAAATAATAAAAATAAAAATAAATAAAAGGAGGGCGGCGCCTTTGCTTTTGGGTTGAGTTCGCCCTCTCCAATCGCAAGTGTCCAGTCTTCTGCCCCTTCCAATGTAGGTTTCCGCTCTGCACTTCCTTTCTACCCCAAACGAAAGTCTCTCCGCCTCCGCCTCGCAGCTGAGAGTTTGAGACTGCGACGTTACGTAAGTCTCTTAAAAATCCTAAATTTTGCTTTTGCTTTCGCTAACCATTCGGTCGGCGGCATTCGTTCTCATATTATAACTTTGATTGCTAAGATTAGATGATCATCTTCCTTTCGGGTTAATAAGAATTAGATTATAGCCTATACTATAGGATAGGATAATAGGATAATAGGTCCCAAGCTTCTCGTATTTTTGCAAATTTCACTCCGAATCCCGAGAATACTGACATCATGTACGGTAGAGCGGGCCTTGATCGATTTAAGAAAGCTCAGTCCTTGGAACCCTTCTCCGTCAATTCCAATCCCAATCCCAATTCCCCTTCCAAATCCAATCCCAAGCCCTCTCTTTCACACTCCCATCAACATCAACCCCCCCTCCCTCTCCCTCTTGCACCGCCCGAGGCCGCCCCCCTCGTGGAGCTGGGTCAGACCCACCAGCACCATCTCCCTCAGCTTGGTGCCGGTCAGTCCACTTGGAGGCCCCCTGACTGGGCAATCGACCCCCGCCCTGGTGTCTATTCTCTCGAGGTTCTCAAGGATGGTCAGGTTCTTGATCGCATTGCCCTTGATAGGCGTCGCAACATCTTTGGCCGCCAATCTCAGACTTGTGACTTTGTGCTTGATCATCAGTCCGTTTCCCGCCAGCATGCTGTTGTTGTTCCTCACAAGAATGGAAGGTCAGCCACACTTTCTCTCACTTTTCCTTTTCTTTCTATTTAATTCAATTGCGTGCTGTTGGTTTTGTTGACCAAGTGAAAGTTTGTTCTAGTTTGGGTTAGCCTCTCTTCAAAACTTGTAAAGAAAAGGGTAACAGAACAATAATCTACTAACTTAATCTTTACATCCAGATCATAGAGCTGGATTTGTTTAATATTTCTATGGTTTTATATTTAAGAAAGAGGGTGGTTTTTTAGGCAATGCCAGAGTAGCCCTACGACCTGATCCGTCAAACACATGATTCAATTAATCATCTAGGAGCTTCATGGATTCACCTATTTCACTATACTGCTTGGCCATGGCCATGGCCATGTCCGTGTCCGTGTCCGTTCATACTCATGACAGTGTGCAGGCGATTGTTTTTTTATTTCCCATGCGTTAAGTAGTTGTATGATGTTGGTTTCTGTGATCCGAAGCCATTTACAAGCTTTATCCCTTCTGCAGCATATATGTAATTGATTTGGGGTCTGCACATGGTACTTTTGTTGCAAATGAAAGAGTGACTAAAGATACCCCTGTTGAACTTGAAGTGGGCCAGTCTTTGAGATTTGCTGCATCAACTAGAACTTATGTCTTGAGAAAGAATGATGCAGCTCTTTTTCCTCGTCCTCCACCGCCTTCAGAGGTTAATCTGCCACCACCTCCTGATCCATCTGATGAAGATGCTGTTGTGGCCTATAATACGCTTCTAAATCGTCATGGTCTGACCAACCCCGACGTAGTGGCTAAGTCCCGCGAGTCTAGTGACTCAGCAGGCGCAAAACAAGACAACCAGCGGCCAGAGAGACCCTCTAAGAGAATTAGGAAGGCAAGAGTATCATTCAGGGATCAAGTTGGAGGAGAGCTGGTTGAAGTAGTTGGGATTTCAGACGGTGTGGACGTAGAAACTGAACCGGGTCCACTAGGTGTAAAAGAAGGAAGTCTTGTTGGGAAATATGAATCCCTTGTGCAGGTTACAGTAATCCCCAAAGGGAAGGAACAATTATATGTCAAGGAAGGCAATTCTTCCCAAAAAGGCATGACTGAAAAATTACAGGAGGTCTTAAATAGAGTCAAGACTGCTCCAAAGGGTAGGATTTATGATGACCTTTATGGAGAATCTTTTTCTGGCAAAGTGGGTTCGTCATGGGCATATCCTTCTTCTGTGGACTCGAGTGGTAGAAGACCCTCTCCAAGTAGAGATACTGATGGGAAGGCATTAAGCGTAAACCATGGAACTAACTCAAGTCACATTGACGATGACGAAGATGATTTGTTTGGTGATTGATTGAGGCAAGCACTCGGTGGATGGATTTTTGTTCTTATTTGGGGTCTGACAATATTTTGAAGATTCGAAAAGATTATATGGTCTTGCTTCCTTGTGAATGGGAAAAGAGTTACATTTAATCAACAAATTTCTTAGTATTGGTATGGCCTGATCCATAATCTCCATGTCAGTTAATGTTAGGGGAGCCGCTAGTGCTAGTGCTAGTGCTAGGTAGGTCATTTATTTGATCCCTCTCAATCTGATGTGAAGTGGTTTATGCTGGTATATTATTATTAACCTGACAGGAAGTCTTTTGTGAGATGCTGATGCGGGTTGGCGGGTGGAGGGAGTCGCCTGGTTTTGTAGTAAGATGATCTGTTGGTATCTCCTCGCAATGTAGCCCTGCTAAAGACTCGAAACTTGTTGAGGATTGCTGCACATTTTAATGCATTAGGCTGTAGCGTGAAACCAGCCAGCTTATAATTTGCATGTGAATTCTGTTTTTTTATTCACGAATTGTGTATTCTTGTAATTGAACTACCAATGAATCATTTGCGTTATGATTAATGGAGCTGATTTTCACACATTCTTTTTACCCTCTCTCACATTTCTCTTTATTTTTTGGTCATCAATTGAATAAATCAAATGAAAACAACAGACGAGATTAAATAGTGGCGGATGGGAGGAGAAAAATGCGTGTCTATAATTTCCCTCCTTAATAGAGTAGCAATGTTTCATGTGAGTAAATAATGTGATGTATGCGCATTAGAAAAAAAATATTGGAAGTTTTCAAGTGGAGAGGATCTCAATTGAAGGAAATTAGAATGGACCTTTGACCTTTTTGTTCTCCATGCATTGCGCACTTGTGTTTATTTTTGAAATTTTGAATTAACAAAATCTCATCTGGGTTTAGGAGCCCCGAAGCATAGGATCCGAATTCCATGAGCGTTTCGAAAGCTTTTGACCGACCGTGACCATGACCTTGTTGGAAGCGTTGTTATGATATCGATGAGAACCTTGAGGAGGAGAAACTTGGAGGGAATCTATTGCCCTGTTCGAAACTATTACAGATATTTGTCAGCCATCGCCAATGGACCCCAACAGTCCCCTGTAACTGTTGGGTCGGAGGCGGCGAGGGACGCGTACCCTCCACTTGTTCATGAAATCCTGCAAATTTGTGCAGGAACAGGTGCACCCGCGGAAGGGAAGGCCTGCCATGCACACATCATACGTTTCGGATTAACAGCAGACACATTAACCTCTAATATGCTCATCAACATGTACTCCAAATGTGGTTTACTTGATTGTGCCGGCAAGGCATTCGATGAAATGCCTGAAAGGAGCTTAGTTTCATGGAATACAATGATTGGGTCACTTGCTCGGAATGGGGAAGAACAAGAAGCTCTTGGTCTTTTCTTGCAGATGCAAAGACAAGGAAACACTTTCAGTGCATTCACCGTTTCAAGTGTTCTTTGTGCTTGTGCTGCGAAATGCGCTGTGTTTGAGAGTAAACAACTGCATGCTCTTGCTGTTAAGTTAGCAATGAATATAAATGTCTATGTGGGAACCGCGTTGCTTGATGTTTATGCAAAGTCTGGTTTGATAAAGGATGCAAGCTCTGTTTTTGAGTCTTTGCCAGAGAGGAGTGATGTTACATGGAGTTCGATGGTTGCCGGGTATGTGCAAAATGAGCTTTTTGAAGAGGCTTTGGTGTTGTTCCATAGAGCTAAAAGGATAGGGTTAGAACAGAACCAGTTTACAGTTTCTTCTGCTATTTGTGCTTGTGCAGGTCTGGCAGCTCTCATTGAAGGAAAGCAGGTGCATGCTCTTTTATCTAAAATTGGCTTTGGTTTGAATATATTTATTGTTTCCTCTCTTATAGACATGTATGCAAAATGTGGTAGCATTAGAGAAGCATACAGTGTGTTTCAAGGTATGAGCGAGGGGAACATTGTTTTATGGAATGCCATGATTTCAGGGTTCGCTAGACATGCTTGCTCCCTAGAGGTGATGATCTTATTTGAGAAAATGCAGCAGATGGGTGTGTTCCCGAGCGAAGTAACCTATGTTTCGGTATTAACTGCCTGTAGTCATATGGGACTAGTTGAAAGTGGAAAGAAATATTTCAACCTCATGATAGCAGAGCACAATGTGTCACCAAATGTTGTTCACTATTCATGCATGGTTGATATTTTAGGTCGGTCAGGGTTGATTATTGAAGCCTATGACCTGATACAGAAAATTCCGTTTGGTGTTACTGCTTCTATGTGGGGTTCTTTGTTGGCTTCTTGTAGGATCCATGGAAATCTTGACTTGGCCGAGGTCGCAGCACAGCATTTGTCTGAGATAGAACCTAATAATGCAGGAAACCATATTTTGCTGTCAAATGTTTATGCAGCAAATAAGAAGTGGGAGGAAGTTGCGAGAACAAGGAAGATTCTTAAAGAAAGCGAGTTGAAGAAAGAGAGAGGGAAGAGTTGGATTGAAATAAAGGACAAAGTTCACTCATTTATGGTTGGAGAGAGGAAACATGCTAGAATTGATGAGATATATTCAAAATTGGACGATTTGGTGACAGAATTGAAGATAATGGGGTACAAGGCTGAGACTGAACATGACCTTCATTGCGTGGGTGAAAGCAGAAAGCATGAACTTTTGAGGCACCACAGTGAGAAACTTGCTCTTACTTTTGGGTTGATGTGCTTACCTTCCAATGCTCCTATCAGGATCATGAAGAATCTTAGGATTTGTGGTGATTGCCATGCTTTTATGAAGATTAGTTCAAGTTGTAGGGGAAGGGAAATCATCGTTAGGGATACAAACAGGTTTCACCATTTCAAGAATGGTTATTGCTCTTGTGGGGAATTCTGGTGAAATACTTTTTTGTGTTCGGTTGCGTTTCGAGGGTCCAGTCCAGTTTACCAGCAATGGGATGGGAGCGCAAGAGATTAATCCAATGGCTGCTGATTGGGGATGTGCTCTCCGCTTGCAGAGGTTAATCTGATCCGTCCGATGAAGATTGTTGTTGTGGCTGATGATTAATACACATGCAAATGGTGATGGTCTGAAGTAGTGCCTAAGGCCAGTTGTTTTGTGATTATACATGAACATATGCGAGTGCAAACAAGCGTAGGCGGTGCGGTGTATCCAACTGAAGGTGTTGGCTAAATAGTAAACATGTAAGGAGGTCCTTCCTTTTTCTTTTTGGAATAAATTTATGCTGAGAGTAGAGATTGACTAATACCACCAGTGCCTTTTTTTTACATCACCACACTAATTGCGCATGCACGTGCACTTTGACGATCCATCAAGTTGGTCTCCAATATTCTCTGTTAGAGTAATAAGTAATTAGTTGTGAACAATATGAAGTGATTAATATTAATTTGTGAGGACTGAGGGGCCATGCTGCATTAGCAATTAATTAAACAAGAAAAATATTAGTTTTGGATAACATGGGCAATGATATAACAATATCTAATTAATCAAAACAAGTACCTTAATCCTCCTAGCTTTAACTTTAGTGCTGATATCACGACCATTCCGTCTTTGTCATAATATAATTGAATGTTGAACAACTAACATATATATATTGAACAATTAACACACACACACACACACACATGTATAATATATGGTTCTTTGACGAATAATTAGCAGTTGGCTCATCCATCTTAATTTCAAATAAAGAGATTGAAGGGACATATGGATGGGGCCCTGCGCTCTCTAATCTGATTACAATTTACATGATATTATATGTATCATCATGCGGGGCCGGCCCTGGAGCCTTTAGAATTATTGTATGTAAGATTATCTCCAGCCAAATGTTATAGGTTATATTTAGATTTAAAATTGACAAAACCGTTCTTCAATTCTTTGGTTAAAGGGGATTCGGCTAAAACAATCAGGCCAAAGTTTGGACCCAGGCCAAAAGTAATAAAATATAAAGAGTAGTAAAATATAGCCCAACAAAATTGGAGATGAAAATTTTAACCCTAAATAGTCTTTAAAATATTAATCTTTGGAGGACTAAAACACAGTTAAGGGCTATGTCTAGACCTTCATTATGTATCTCATGCAATTTATTTGCTATGGAGTAAAAGTTAGCCAAAGAGCGATTACATTGCACACGTACGAGTGAGTATAAAATAATGGATGGTGCTATTTACACTTTTTTTTTTTACTTCCTACACGTCTTTTATTAACTTTTGTTTTTTGATTTTTTTTTTTCAATTCATTTGATTTAACGGTCAAAAAGTGAGTGAAGAGTGCGTAAGAGGTAAAAATGTGTGTGGATAGCACCAACCAAAATAATATATACGCAGAATATCCCAATTGCGTTGGTGGAGAAATTTGTCACGTATTCAGAATTCAAATACAAGTGGAGGGACATAAAAGAATATATTATTATAACATGAAATACTGTTTGAATACTTGACACTAGAAAAAATTTCTCGTACTGGTACAATATAGAGAGGGGCGGAGTTTGAAAAATATACATATGAAAATCTTCTTAGAACTCTCTAAATGTTTGGTACGAGTCATTTTTGTGTATACTAAGTGTTTAATGTAATGTTTGCCAGACATATCTCGACAAGTTGGATCGACAACACTTGACATATTCTTTCGATATATATTGATATCTGTTAACATGTAGGCACATGATTTAATTAGCGACAACAAATCTACTAAACGTTCGATAAGATACTTTGGTAAATAAACAAGTTTTATATTTTTCGCGCTCCTCCCTTTTAAGAGGAGGATGCATGGTTGGTTGAGACTCGGGACTAGAAAGTGGGGGAGAAGAGAATACTTGTCTGTGTCTGGCCCTGAAAGCAACCGACAATGGGAAGGCATGACAATCCGATCAGCGCGACTGCAGAGAATTATTCAGTGTGTTTGAAATTCAGTTAGTACATTACATGTTATCATATACATACAAAGATATTTGAAAAATAAAATTTTCTTTTAATTATATAATAATACATGTATCATCTTGTGTTTCGAAACATTGAAAATTTTCATAACTGCAAGTGCGAGAGATGTAACAAACGGTAAAGGATGAGACACGTGGATGACATACAGATAATCAAGTAGCTTTGCAATTGCTAGCCTAGCCTAGACTAGAAGGAGGAGGAGAATGTACCTTCACCTTAGAAAGTGGAGGAAATCATCATGATTGATGAGGACATGGGAACTGGGAATCAATTAATTAATGGGATCTTCCATTATTTCCTTTCATTTCAATTTCAACGGAGAGATGAATATAATGTTAGTATCTAAGCTAGGCAGAGGAGGCTTAATCAGTTAGAGTAATCAGCAAGATGTGATGATCTGGTCCCACGCGATGAGCACGATGTTTCAGTAATGGACTACTAGTAGGAGCACTCTTTTGAGCTTTTCTTTACTTTCCTTGTTTCTTTAAGGCATTCTCACTTCCCACTTTCAATCTTCTTACACATATATTATATTGCTTTGCTTTTTCGTAATTAATTAGTTCAATTCTAATCTAGTTTTAATAATTCAACCAGAGATAGAGCACTAGGTCCCCATCGCCAGAAGAGACCTGTCGATCCTCCCTTTTCTATCATTATTTATTAATTTAAGCGGTTTATCATATTTCATAAAAAGTAATACTAAGGAAACTAAAATTGTATAAAAAAATTTACAAACTAAATGATATGAAAGTTGATAATTGAATTATTACTTAAACGTTGATAAATTTGCTCAATCCTATTAGTGACACATCATTTAGTTTGTAAATTTTGTCTACAAATTTAGTCTCTATAGCATTATCAAATCCTAAATCATGCATGTTATGAATAATGCTCTTTTCATACATTACCATGTTGATTAATCCCAACCAATTCCACACACACTGCAGACAGACTCTCTCTCTCTGTCTCTCGTTGGTGTCCGTCTCACACTCACAGCAGTCACAGTAGTACTTGATTCTAGCTACCAAGCTTAGCTAGCTAATAGAAAGTTATTAGTCGTCTCTCATACTCTCTCCCTCTCTCTGTCTCTGGGGATTATATGCATGAGATGTATACCCTATTGTATATATTTTCACGTTGCTGCATCTCATCACGTTAAAGCCCCGGCCGCTCGCTCTTTGTTGTTGGCTAGTACGCACTTGAATGGCTTCTCATCAGAAATTATTAAACATCGGATTTGCTATTTTGGTTGCGCAGCTATACAGTTGCTCTCTACAATCCATCGATCAGTCCACTCGATCGCTTGGAATCATTTGAAGGTAGTTAAATTAATTTGCTTTTCCGATCGATTGTATATATTAGTGCTAGCTGCTGTTGCTGCCTTGGAAGCCAACAATGTTCCTTCAGCTCAATTGTTTACTTGCGGTACGTACCTTCCTTTTGATCATTATAATTCTTAGTTACCATTCATTGGAATAGTTTTGGCCGTGTATGTATAGAGTAGCTGAGTCGTCCCAATCCCATTTACTATACTCGATATTGTTAATGATATATGCTATTTAGTATAAACATAGGGAAACTGGAGTGTGATTATGTGACATATATACATAGAATTTAATCATCAAACTAGCTTGCAAGTTAACCCTATCCTGATATAATGAACTTGAAAAGTTCTTATGTGTTTGTGTGTCTATTAAGATAAATAACTTGAGTTAGGGCAATCCTTGGTGCAACGAAAAGTTGCTCTTTTATGACTGGAATGTCACAGATTCGAGTCGTGGAACATCTTCTTTGCAAAGTAAAGATAAAGCTGCATACGATAAACATTCCCTTTATCCCTCGTAAAAACGGATAACCTTGTTGCCTTGGGTCACCTTTTATATATAACTTTAGTGCATTTCCGTTCTGTTATTCAGAGATGAAGGAAAGATTATGCCTTACTTTGCTAAGGGATAAATACATAATGTCCAAAGGATACTGTAAGGCAGGAGATCGAGCTTTAACAATTATTTACAAGTCAGCTAAAAAGATGAGGAAAAAAATTGAAATTCCAATTGAATATATGGACAAAAGAAATGAACAAAACCATCTTATATATGGAGCTTGTGGAGGGGCTCTTTATCAATGTCAAAAGTGAGTCCGTCCCTAAATAGCTAAATGGTCTCCGCCCTCCCGTATCTATTTATAATCTAAGGAAAACTAATAAAAAATATTTGAAAATTTTAAGTTTTAGCGATAAGGACAAAATAAAGGGTAAAATGAATAGTACCATGATTAACTTTTTAGCGTAAAAATGTAATTTTTGTTAAAATACACAATACCGTAGACTTTTCGTTAAAACTTCTATATATATATATTCGTCTGTACTGTACATATATACACATACAACTTGAGAGGCCATGCTCACTCATATATTATAATTTTATATGTATTCAACAAAGTTGGCGTCATAAGTCATATGAGTAGAGAGTAGATTGTTTATGGTGTTCTAGCCATGCTACCTTTAATCAGCTAACGTTTCTTGCGACCGATGCTTCTCTTTTCTGATAGATAGACTATATATACATATGAACTAATTAATATTCTATTTTTTATACAAAAATGTTTGTATTATTCTTTCTGACTTGCTAATTGGAAAAAAAAAATGTAGGGTTTTTTCCTATCTGAATAAGAAAAATGTAGTAGTACTGCTTGTAGTGCCACATTAGCACTAAATATATGGTTCCTCTTTCAAGGATAGTAGTACTGCTTGTAGTGCCACATTAGCGCTAAATATATGGTTCCTCTTTCAAGGATATCTATATATCCAGGCCAAAAGTGGTTTAACAGTATAAACTAGGTCATGCGATGCGAGTCATGAGTCTAGAGGTTGAGTTGGGTTGGACTAGGAATTGGAACACGCTCGGTATATAATATTTTATATATACACAAATAGGAAGCTTGTAAGTGAAGGGGTTGCATTTTTTTTTATAAAAATAAGCATTAGTTGTGGGATTTATACTTTACCGAACTTTAATGATCCAAACTAGTCTTATTCAAACAGTTTATATCGTTAAAGTTCGATGTGAAATAATTCTCACACATGATTTCTATTTAAAAAAAAAAATGAGAATTCATTTGCATAAAGAGCCTGTATAATTATATATACAAGAGAAACAACCCTATATATATAGGGAATTGTTATTAGTACTTCAAAAATCTCATTTGACATTCTAAACTTTCTATAATTAGAAAGAAAAATACATTTACGATGAGTGTAGAATGTGATTTTTTGAATGCTAATAACAATTCTTTATATATATATATATATATATATATATATGAATATAGATCCTCTCCTGAGCTTCTCTATGCGAATCCAGCGGACAACATAATCGTGGCCGTTGATCCAAATCGTGCGGTCATGAATCCAAAGCTTCTCTATGCAAAATGGCCTATTTTCTTCCTCTTTCCCTGGGAAGTGCCGAACAGAAGATTTCAATTCTGATGTGGCTGTCCGCATTCAACAACAACATTTCCTATGTATCAGAATGCTCCTAACATGGAGGCGTCGAATTGCTCTTGACAGAAGATTTCAATTCCAAACAAAATTAAGACAAATAATTGATGACCCAATTTGAAATTTGATCCAAATTCAACAACGCAATTATTCTTCTTTTCTGGTAAAAAAAACCCCGGTCGAGCTAGATGGCGAATTAGAAAGCATGGGTCAGTGACTTGGCGCCGCTAGTCGTCGGAGCCGATGCGGCAGTCGCGTTCAACAGGAATTTGAGGGGGTTTTGGGGCTAATGGACCAATTGGGCGGCTGGAACATGGTGCTGAAGTTGGAGGCGGAGGAGCATTCCATCTGGGGGAGAGAAGCAGAACATGACAGAGAGAAGGAAAGTGATGACTGATGAGAAGGAATGAAATACCGAAGAAAGAAGTTAAAAAAAAAAAAAAAAAATTGATTTGGGGAAAAAACTTGGATTCATGACCGCACGATTTGGATCAACGGTCACAATTATGTGGTCCGCTGGATCGGCATAGAGAAGCTCAGGAGAGGATCTGGATATCCTATATATATAATGCTCGCTCGCTCACTGCACTGCATGCAACTGATTCCTAGCAGTCGTCAGTCACCAGTGTAGAGTCCAAGTGGCCGCGTTTCACCTCCTTATAATTAAATGAGTTTCAGCCACTCATTAATCCAATTCGTCCACTAATACAAATACATCCACAAACGGTGTAAGTTCCAAATTAAACAAATATATACATATAAAATATTAAAAATAATTTGCATGGCATCCTTACTTCCTTGTGTCAAATTTCAACACAAAAGAGTTGAATGAGAGTAGTTTGAGAGTTCACAGATGCACTGCTGATCGAGTCTGACTACTCTCAGAGCAAAATTAACTCCTCTTGGTTTTAATTTGTTGTTATTATATTATTATTAGTGCAATTTAGGAAAACTCTCTGTACTAGTTATTTGCCCCGTGTGTGTATATTTATATCTTATGTATGTATAAATTGGAGGAGTTGCAGGTGGATTAACAATGTATGCTGATGTTGGTGGATCCTTGACACCTTGTTGGCCGGACGAAAGCTGATCATCAGGTAACTAAGGGCCATAAACCCTACTAATTCCCAACTTAATCATATTCTTAAATTTCTTATATAGATAGATGGAATTTCCATGATTTTTATCTTAATTTGTGGATTTTGACGATTCAAACTTGTATGTTGGTTCGGCTTCTGAAACAATCAAAATCAGCGTCCTACCTCAGCACTTGTTCATAATTTGCAACCATTTAACTGCTAATTATTACTAATTAGTTGATATTTCAGCTTCATTAACTAGATATTTATGTTATTTTTTGGTAAAAAATATGTGTATATTTGGATTTGACCACATAAATTGCTTTGGTCTGTCTGGTGAATTAGCTGGCTAGTTAATTAAAATCTCCCTTCCAGATATCCTTGCAATTTACAGTTTTGGTTCCCTGAATTTGGAAAAATATCTATAAATCATTTACTGAAATGTTTATGATTCAATCATATCACGCATGAATAGATACTTTTCCCAAAATGCACTGTCCATATATATTTCTTATTTTCAAACATATACAGCATACCCTTGGGATTTTAGCTGATCTCTTTCAGAAATCATGAAAAGGGTATATTGCTGCACAAGTATTTTGAAGGGAGAACCTGTTATCATCTCTTGTTAAAAGAAAGTACCAATCTGACAATGAAGTTTATGAAAATTGGAACCAAGCCGGACACCTTCTACACCGAAGAAGCTACCAGGTACTAGCTTAGCTATGACTTGTTTTCCCACCGCTGTTCCATAGATGACATTGAATGGGTATGCATAGAATCAATTTCCTCACACGTACGTCCTCACAGCTCACGTTCATAATGAAATTGCTACTTTGTGCTTTGGTTTTATATATTGAATTTCTTGATTTATGTACTGTCCTCGCAACAGTATTATTTCAGCTGATTTTGCATTCACTATGTGTGCAGGACCGTGATTTCGGATGTACCCAGCGACTTTGTCATACAAATTAACAACATCCATTATCTTCTCCATAAGGTAATGATCACATCATTTACAAGGAATAATGTTTTGTCGAAATGCACCAATTTCATTTTCTCATGTAGTCACGGATGTGCAATTTTTCTGCTGATCAGTACTTCCTGTGCATTCCTGTTTAGAATTCTTCAGTGTTTTTGAAGCTAAAAAAAAAAAAAAAAAAAAAAAATCTTCAGTGCATGATTGTAGTACTGGAGAAAGGAAGGAAAGGAAAAACATTCAATAAGAATGAACATTTCACTATTTTTCCGAATTTTATAAAATCATACAGCAAACTAATACAGCTAGCACTTCTTCTGCATGTATACAACTATACATACACAAGTGCTTGCTCTTGGTTAAGGGATAATTGTACTTTTGTTAGCTGCAGTTTCCACTTCTTCCAAAATGTGGCCTCTTACAACGGCTTTGCTCTGACTCTGGTGATTTGGAAAAGGTCAGCATAAAGCTTCACGATATTCCAGGAGGTGAAGATGCGTTTGAAATGTGTGCTAAGTTCTGTTACGGAATAACGATTAATCTCAGCGCCTATAATTTTGTACCTGCATTTTGTGCTGCTAAGTTCCTCCGAATGACCGAGTCAGTAGAGAAGGGAAATTTTGTTCCAAAACTCGAGGCTTTCTTCAATTCATGCGTTCTTGAAGGTTGGAAAGACTCCATTACTGCACTACAAACTACAGTGAAGTTGCCTGAGTGGTCTGAGAATCTTGGGATCATCAGAAAGTGCATTGATTCAATTGTTGAGAAAATCCTTACTCCTCCAGCAAAGGTCATATAATGTTCATGAATATTTTATTATTATGCTTCTTCTGTCAGCAATCGTTTTTTTTTTATTCTTCCTTACTGATTTGCTCAAACTAAGTAATGTTAGTCAATTTTAATTTTCAGGTTGCGTGGTCCTACACTTATACCAGACCTGGCTACACCAAAAAGCAACATCATTCTGTCCCAAAGGATTGGTGGACTGAGGATATATCAGATCTTGATGTAGACCTGTTTCGATGTATAATTACTGCTGTTAGAGCCACGCATGTGCTGCCACCACAGCTCATTGGGGAAGCTTTGCACGTCTATGCTTGTCGTTGGCTGCCAGATACCACAAGAACACCTCCACAAATAGATGAGGAACTCATGGAAAACAATCGAAGAATTGTTGATAGCATTGTGAGTATGATTCCCGGAGATAAGGGAGCAGTTTCTGTTGGTTTCTTGCTAAGGCTTACTGTAATTGCCAATTACTTGAGAGTGTCCCCAGTGACAAAGACTGACCTGTTAAGGAGGTCTGGTCTACAACTCGAAGAGGCAACGGTGGATGACCTGATTTTTCCTTCAAACTCGCCTGCTGACCCGGAATTTTACGATATTGACTTGGTTTTGGAAGTGTTAGAAAGTTTCTTGGTGCTATGGAGAAGACAATCCCCTGCAGCTGCTTCTGAATTGGACAGAAGTGCTCAGGTTTTAGGAACAATGAGAAAGGTTGGGAAACTCATTGATTCGTACCTTCAAGTTGTTGCCAGGGATGTCAACATGCCAGTTTCAAAAGTGGTATCTCTGGCTGAAGCTTTGCCAGATATTGCAAGGGAAGACCATGACGGCATCTACAAGGCTATTAACATTTATCTAAAGGTATGTAAGTATGTAGTATATTAATCGAAGTGAATGCCATTGCCATTTAGAATTCATGAGTATAATTAATTACTAAATGCTGGTTGACTAATCCATTTGATGAAACATATGTATTAATAAGTAGGAGCATGGTGATATAAGCAAGGCAGACAAGAAACGCTTGTGCCGCATTTTAGACTGCCAGAAGTTGTCGCCTGAGGTACGCACTCATGCTGTGAAAAATGAGCGGCTACCACTGAGGACTGTTGTGCAAGTCCTCTTCTTTGAACAAGAGAGAGACAGAGGTTCCAACTCCAAGGCAGCAGCAGCAACTCATGATCGTCATAAACATAAGCCACTGCCAATAACACCCTCCCAGTCCCATGAGCCAGGAAAACAAACAACGCCAAGTAGCAGAGAATCGGATAGTCATAGTCACAAGCTAAAATTGGGAGCAGCAAATGTTCATGATAAATTCAGTAGTAGTACCACTGGAAAGAAAGATAATCCACTGCTGCAAATGCAAAACAAAAGATCAGGCGGAAAGTTGGCATTGAAAAACGAAAGAAAGGGTGTCAGATTAGAAACGCAACAAGTAGATCATCAAGGACATAATATGGGAAGGGAAATCGTAAGAGGAGGAGCATCTGGATGTGCAGGTGCAGGGAGCAAGTTGGACGCTAAGAAGATGATCCAAAGGGGAAGTAGGCCGGACCATGGCCACGACAAAGGCAAAGATAGATAGCAAAAACGTACATGAACATCAATCATCCTCGTTTCCTTTGCACTTCATGTAATTAAGTTTTTCTTTTTGTTTGTTCCTTATTCCTCTGGAATTGGAGAAAATGTTTCAGTTCTGAACTATGTTATCTTATGATGAGTCCTCTCCACCGTTTGTGCCATACTCTAAACATAAAGGGTGGGAGCTTCTTGCCATGGCGCCAATGTCAGTATGGTTTTACCAACCATAAGAAGAAGACTCTAAAACCATGCAAAGATGCTATTTAGTATTACGGCTTGGTGATATTTATTTTCACTTGTAAGTGAGAAATCTTGTTTGATTCTCCTGAACGGCGAATTTGAACTAAATTTAGGTTAGTCTATTGCAAAGTTTAGCCCACTTCCCTCGCCCCTTAATATAGATAATATTGAATGATTCAAATTCTCATTCTATAGAATATGTTACAAAAAATTAATTAATCGTTTGAATTTGGGAGTCAAAAACTCGTTAATTTTATTGAGGCATTTTGATTTCTTTGATTTATACACAACAGGTGAAAGTCTTTGTCAGCCGGAAAGGTGCTCTCAGTGTACTTGTAAGTAAATGTGTCTTTAACTCAATTGAAAAAAAAAAAATTTAATAAAAATAGTTTAAAAACTTTAAGTTTTGACGATAAAGACAAAATAAAATGTAAAATAAATAGTACCAGAATTGACCATTTAATGTAAAAATTGATTTTTCTTTTAACTTTTTCTTGAAAAAAATTTACTGAGAGCATCAGCGCCATATGAATTACAAGAGGTGCTAAAAATAAAATAAATAGGAGTGAAATGACAGAGTTGTCCTCATTTAAAGACGACGTCTGGCTTTTGAAGAGGGCATTCAGGACAGGCAGGGTGAAAACCAAGCAGGAAACATAAAGCCAGCGAAGAAGATCAACAAATCAGAACCCCGAATTAAGAGTTTTAGCACTTCTGAAGCCACTTGCGGTCCTCCCCTTTCCGCCGCTGACTTCCTTTGCTCGCTCGCTCGCTCGCTCGCTCCCTCCCTCCCTCCCTCCCTCCCTCCCCGGTGGTACACTTCCACGGATTCTGTTTAAAATGTGGGTTTTCTTTTTTCGTGGGATTGGATTAGGGTTCTTTTTTCTCTCTCTCGCTCTTCATTTAATTTTTAATTTTTAACCTTGTGAGGTTTTAATTTTACACAGTGAATATAATAGTTTGTAAAGGGTGTTAATTAGCTACATTCAGTGGTGGTGATGTCGGAGAAAGGAGGAAAGGGGTTTTCTTTGCCTAAATCTTCGCTGAAATCTACCCCTCCTACCACAAAGGATGGTCTGCTCTTTCATAACTTTCTTGGACATTTTTTTATCGGGTGTTTTTTGTTTGTAAAAGAAATGAGGTAATCGCATTCCATCGGTTTGTGTAGGTAAGGATGATAGCTCAACAAAGTCCAAGAAGGGAAGACGAGTTCAGTTCGATTCTGAAGGTACGGTTTCTCTAAACTCTATCTGTTCCTATTAAATTAGTCTCACATTTTAGTCAGCGGATCTTGTGTGTCATGCATGTGCTTATCGTCTTCGATTTTCAACATCTGAAATGTTTGTTCTTGTATTTATAGGTTCCCGGGAACCCAAATCACACTTTTCGTCAAAATTTGATAGCCGATCTGCTGCTTCAGGGAAAGGTTTAATATTATTTGAAATTCTGAATTTCCATGTTCATCACTTGCATATTTGAAGTCAAAGACCTCGATTTTATTATATTTCTCTCTTTCTTTTGCAAACTGTGATTTTTAAGCTGATTGGGGCAAAGGGGGGAAAGGAGACACCATCGGAAATGGTAGAAAGAAAGAACCACAGCCACTGGAGCTCAAAATTGAGCAGGGTGAGCACTTTGATATTTTGTATATCAAATACTTAAGATAAGAGTACAGCTCAGTCTCAGACGTTGAAAATAATCTTTGTTGTTAAGTACTATAATGTTGTCAGTTTTGTTGATACATGCAGAACTTCCAAAGAGTGCCAAATGTATGATGGATTGTGAGGCTGCCGATATATTACAAGGCATCCAGGAGCAGATGGTCATGTTGTCAAAAGATCCTACTATTAAAATCCCTGTGTAAGAATCAAGTTTTATCATCTCAATGAAAGAATGGTGATTGAGAAAATAGTTTATTTAACAGTTGATGTTAATTTTCTGTATATGAAGTGTCCTAAATGGTTTTGTTTTCAGATCATTCGACAAGGGACTGCAGTACGCAAACAGCTCCAGCCGTTATATTCATCCCCAGTCTGCGAGACACATTCTTGAGTATCCTTGATTTGCTCAGCGCGTGTGTGTGTGTGCATGTTTTAGTATTCTTGATTTGTTTCTTGATGTTTATACGTGTGTGTATACAAGTATTTTCTCTGCTTTGAACCCTTAACTTGAATATCAGGACACTAAAAAAATATGGTGTCAAAGATGGCGAGGTTATAATCTCAAACTTCTGTATTAGTTCTTAAAATTTGAGGACTGGTCCCTGATTTTTTTTATTTTTTATTTTTTATTTTTGCCACAGATATGTGTGATTGCCAATGTTTGTCCAGAAACCACAGATGAAGTTTTTGCTTTAGTACCATCCTTGAAGGTATGATATTGTTCCTAATAAAATGTATGCATTTTTCTGTTTTGGGCCAAATTGAATAATCTAGATAGAAATTGTAATTTAAGCATCCTGATGTTCTTTTCTATTTCAATTTTAGTTCTAGTCAGGAATAACTCAATTCTGTTTCTAATTTTGTCAGAGGTTTGCTTGTGTTTGATGTAAAAGCTGAAAAAGATATATGTGGTATTCACTCCTTGGATTAATTTCTATTCCAAAATTGATATCTTCCAATCTGTTGCTGTGTTACTCACTTCGAATGGGGAAAGTCATGAATCGGGGAAAGGAAAGAAGGGATGGTGTGGGATCAACTGCACCCCCTCCCTTTCCTCCGAGTCAATCTGATTCTGATTTTTCAGGCATTGGGTTATAGATTTTAGTGTGGAACCCATACTATTTTCTATTCCATGTATGTTACTAACACATGGGGATTCCAGAATTGGAATAATTCCAAAACCCATGTTTTAGGGGGAAGTAAACATGCCATTGTAGGCAGAGAAATTTGGAGCATTTATCCTTGGACGTTTGCCCAACTGGAGTTTTGGTCCCTAAACTAAAAATCTGTGAGTATTGGTCCTTGAACTTGTCACAGTGTGTAGCAATAGTCCTTTTGGGGAACTCCGTTAGAACTTTCATCCAACATAAAAGGTTTAAAGGGGAAAATAAGGGATGGAAGGTCTAACAGGATTACTCAAAAGGACCGTTGCTCCACATTGTGACAAGTTCAGGGACCAACACTCTTGAATTTTTAATTCACGAACCAAAGCTGCCATTTGTCTAAAATTTGGGGACCAATGCTCCAATTTCTCTTATGGGAATGGATATTATTTCTTGATCCTTGAGGGCTAGGACTCGTAACTCCCTTTTTGTTGATCTCTTTGATATTTTCATTTCCCCAAATTCCCTCTTCTTTCTGGCTGCCTATTATAGTGCGGAACTATTAGGTTGCCAATGGAACTGTTAAGCTACTGAATTGACTTCTTAGTTTTCTGCCTACCTGAGTTTTTATCTGCGTTTGTGTTTCAAGCATCCTTGCCCGAAGCTATTTGGGGTTGCCAATTTTCCCTTGACCTAAGTCTATACACTATCTTTGCTTTTCCAATCACTTCAACATATATGTTTTTCCTCCAGGCTAAAAGAAGCACGCTCAGCCAACCACTCAAAGATGTTTTAAGTGAGCTGACGAGGTTTAAAAAGGCAACATAAGAACCTCGTTACATGAGAATCCTTCGTAAGGTATATTAATTTTCAACTCAACCTTAAATGGCCTTGTCTTCCTGTCTTGTATGCGGAATGATTAGTTGGGTATTATGTAAACTGGTACAGGCTGCTAGGTGCAAATGACACTATAATGGAGGGATTTTGCGTTACGGACTTTTCACGGCACTAACAATCATCCTTGTTAATGTATTTGTTAATGGTCGTTGGGTTTTGTATATGACCTTTATGGAATTTGAGATGCTGCGGAAATCCTTTCCATAGCCTCTCCTTAGGCTTGGTTATCAGCAGTAGTTTTCTTCTATTTTGTGCTTTGATGAATATGAAGTTTACTGGATGATTGAATGAGTTTGACATTAATACAAGTAGAGAGAGATCGTTGGCTGGTTTCTTGACGGAATGAAGGAAAAAAAGGATTTGGAAACACAAAAAAAAAGAAGGAAGCAATTGATGCATCGTACTTAAATTTACTCAATTTGCGCAAGGGCGATGGTGTTTGTGACTTAGTTTTGAAGAAAATAATGAATTTTTATGAATAAAAGAGGCTTCCTTTGGTGCATCTCCCAATGGAAAGTATGATGAAAGTCACTCAAACTGCTTGGATTTTGTTGCCTTGAGGCTTTATAATACATGGAAGTGTTTCTTACATTTTCTCTAGCTTCGCAAACATTTGTTTTTATTTTCAATCATTGGGTTAAATAAATTAAATAGAATCAACGGTCAAACTAAACAAGGGTCTACTATTACTAGACTTGGTTGAACAGTGATTTTTACACCTTTTTCTCCTTGTGTTGTATCATAGCATCAAACTCAAAACAAACTTGGTCGTACGGAAATACCATACGGTCAATTCCTTGACCCAATTTTGTTGTTTGGTTAAATGCAATGCCCAACTTAATTTCTTCATCAAGAGAACTTGTTTAAAAGGATTTTATCGCTGTTTGGCATCTTGGTTTAATGTTACAATAACGGTGAATACGTTTTATGTAAGTTGTTTTTCTTAATTAGGCCCAATCATTTTTTATTATGTAGACCAACTTTTTAAATCAAATTTGTAGATTATGTGATGTGTTACTAATATAAAATAAAAACATTAATCAACACTTAGTGATAACCACGAGCTAGTAGTGCAATTGTAAATGGCAGATTGTAAGGCTTTGTGGTTTGTTATCATTTGTTCTCCTTTTAATTTTGAAAAAAAAAATCAACACTAAGAGATAATTCGCGGCTGTAGACTTTCTCTTTTGCTAGGATTTGGGGTGGGTATTTGAACTTTTGACGAGATGGAAGAAAGTGAACAATATGCCAAAGAAAAAGAAACAAAGGAAAAAAAAAAGGGAATTGTTATTGATACTTCAAAAATCTCATTTTCTATTCCAAATTTTTTTTATTTAGAAAAAAAAAAAAGATTTTTGGAGTTCTAATAATACTTCCCAACGAAAAAAAGAACGAAAAACACGGAAAGTGCAGTGGAGTTGGGTAGTGAGAAAGTCCATATTCTCTATCTTCTTTTTTCTGGGCAAACAAACGAACATCATCTGTGTGGTAATTGATTCCTCAGAGAGAATGGGAAAAAAGGAAGAAGATTACAAGGAACAGAGGGAAGCAGACGTAGAAACAGAAGAAGAAGAAGAAGAAGAAGAAGAATCGGATTCAGAAGAGAAATGGAGAAAGCACTATTCGTCTGGGCAGAGGATATTGCTGGTGGGCGAAGGAGACTTCTCCTTCTCTCTTTCTTTGGCCACTCGCTTTGGATCTGCCCGCAACATGGTTGCCACTTCTCTCGATTCCCAGGGTTACTACCTCCGTCCTCTTCCTACTCTTGTTTTACTTTTACCACCATTCAATTCAATTCAAGTGTTTACCATTTTTGTTGACTACTTGTTTTTGCAGAGAAGATTGCTGGCAAGTACAGTAACGCCATAGAGAATGTAAGGAAGCTTGAAGAAAGGGGATGCATCGTGATTTACGGAGTGGACGCCCAGCTTATGAGCCAACACTTCTTCCTCGCCACTCAGAGGTTTGACCGCATCGTCTACAACTTCCCTCATGTTGGCTTTCTCTTCCGCGAGGATAGCTTCTGTCAGATCCAGTATGTATCTCTTTACTTATTGCCTTGTTTTTTTTATTATCATCTCATCATTATTTGATTTGATTTGATTTGATGATGATCGTGTTTGATTTGATCTTTGATTTTGATTGTGATTGTGATTATGATTATGATTATGATTATGAGGTTGAACAAGAGATTGGTGAAGGGTTTCTTCAAAAATGCCAAATTACTCCTGAGAAAAGAGGGTGGAGGAGAGATTCACATAACCCACAAAGAGGGTCATCCTTACAACGAATGGGATTTGGTCAGGAAGGCACACAAGATTGGCCTGCAAATCGATCGATCTGTGCCCTTCTGCATGGACGACTATCCCGGCTACCACAACAAGAGAGGCCACGGCATCGATTCCGACGCCCCCTTCCACCTTGGCGATTGCACTACTTACATGTTCAAAATCAGGCTGCCTTGATTAATCAGCCTTCATCATCATATCTCCATTGTAATGTCTCAAATTTTCAATGGTGTTGGCTGCCCTGCCCCGCTGTTAACATAATATTGCTTCTGATGCCTGTGTCCGTGTCTGTCTGTCTACTCCCTGTCTGTCACTAGGACTGATTGAGCAGGATGCATGTAATGTCGAAGGAAAGAGTGACATTCTTTCTGATGTCCGTATCAAGTCAACTCTATTTTCTTTACTATAAATTAAATTATATATAAGTAAAGTTACGGTACCTCAATACAAATGTCTTACATGATGATAATACCTGAATTACACACCCACCCCCCCACTAAATGAGGGAGTAATCTACACTACACTAGTATTTAATCACCTACGCTTAGTCTTAAATATTACAAGCTGCTTCAGAAGAGGGGACCCTGAAAAACCCACTTGAGAAACCTCTTTTCACATTACAAAACCCCAAGCCCCCCATGAAATCAACATCCACACAATGATCCACCTCCGGTTTAGTTGATAACAAGAACTAGAACTAGTACTATATCTAGATCTAGGTCTGGACGTAGTGTCAGTAACGCCAACAAGAAACCTGCATTCACCAACCGAAGGGTCTTGGAAAGTGACCATACCAAGCCCGTCAAAATCACAGCTCCGTTCATTCTGCATTTGCAGCTGATAGTAACTGTTGAACGCATATGAGATGTTTCCCCTTGCTCCAATTCCGTTGCATGACCCCCCATAGGCGAGTGTGGTGCAATCTGCAACACTACACGCGAGTTTCATGTGGTTCGCCACATCAGACAAATCTCCAGACGGCTTTGCCACACACCACCTAGACGGGAGATACTCAATATTCCTTGCATTTTTCAATCCTGTGCTGCCCAAACCGAGGTTCAACGGATATTTAGCCTGGCCATCAAAGGAAAAGATCCCCCAGTGCCTTTCAAAGTTTCCTGGAAGTGTGCTCTTTGCCCCTTCATCAAGCAGACTGAAAATATATATATCCACGGGAGGGGCTCCTGGTCTTAGAGGGGTTCCTCTGTTACTCAGCACATGATTTATGAGACCTTGGTTGAATACCCTGGCAGCAGTGAGATTTGCATTGATGGCTCCGTCTGTGGGCCAACCCACCTCCCCAATGATTATGGGCATCTGACCATATCCAAGCTTGCTGAGGGCGGCGACTAGCGTGTCGAAGTTTCCGTCAAATGCATTGGAGTAAACATTGGACCCATCTGTAACAGGATGGCTAGTCCCCTCAAAGAATGCATAGTCTTGAGGAAAATCTGAGCTTCCATAGAGACTTAGAAATGGGTAGATATTGACTACAAAAGGAGAACCATTTGAATTGAGAAAGGAAACAACTTGAGTCATAATTTGAGTGAGTTCAGGTCGAAATGCCCCTTGAGAAGGAAGGGAGGACTCATAAGCATCGGCATTGCAAGGGACGACTAACTTGACGTAGCCTGCAAGATTCACTTTTGCCAAGGACTGTTGTAGATTGAGCAGTGTAGGCATGACATAAGACTGAAACTGGCCTGAGTAACTTGTAAGGAAGGGCTCATTTCCTACTGCAATATACCTGTCATTGGTCATAAGGAAATAAGTCTAGATGTGGTGTGGATGCAAAAGCAACAACTTAACATATAAACAGACGCAGAAGAAGGATTTGATTCATGGACTAGCATTGTGATCAAGTGAAAGAAGCAAAGTTTTGGCAACAAACTGGTTGTTATATCGAACTGGTTTCTCTCTAATCTTAGATAATATCTTGTTGAAAATTTTGAAAAACATAAATAAATAAATAAATAACCTAACAGGCCAGTATCTTGTAGGAAATTAAACATAAATAAATACATTCTCTTTTGGCTCATATCTCACAGGCAGCATAGCACAGATTCAGCTCATCACTTGACAAGAAGAAGAATGTAATATGATATAAGATCATGATTATAACTTAACAAAATATGCTGAAAAAGAATATCCATTAATATCAAGGGATGGTGGGTGGCAAAAACATACCATCTGCCCTTTATTAACCAGTGAAAGCCACACATGTAAAAAGTTGTTTCCTTTTATTCTCCAACCGTTTCTCAGTAACAATTGCAATAAACACACAATGAAAAAAGCATACGGAAAAAGAAGAAGAAGAAGAAGAGGAGGAGGAGGGGCCTCGGCCTCACCTGATATCGGCACCATTTTTAACCATATATCTGGACACATTCTGGCGAACCCACAAATCAGAGGAGTCGGTGGAAGAGCTCAAGGCGGCCAACATCTCATTGGGGATGCCAACCATGACCTGGATGCCGCTGCCCATGAGAGCCCGAAGAGAATCTGGGTCGGCATCGAAAAGCTTCACCTTTGATATCTTGTTGTCTTTCATGAAATCCACCACCGCGGAAGGCTTGAGCTTGTGGAAGGACACACTGCCCCAGTTCACTCCTATGGCTGACTCCGCCCTCCAAACCACCACTAGAGAAAGCAGAGCTGCTGCAAATGCCCAACTCCATTTCCTCCTGGCTTCTAACATTTTGTCAGATTAATAAACAATCTGATCAAACCCCAACAATTATGAACCAGATTATTCATTCATTCATTCCCCACCTGGGTTCATTAACTCAATATCTGCTAGGCAGAGACTGAGAGTCTGAGAGTGTGTTGTATTGTAGGTGGTTGTGAGTTTATTTTTCGCTCTACGTTGTTATTAGCTGGTACTTCTAGATATATATTAAGATAGAGAGTGGGAGAATGCAACAGATCACAGACAAGAGAGTAAAGTTGAAGCTGCCATGATACTAGATAGATATAAATAGCAGTGCTGATGTTGATGTTGCACTTTTTGAAATTACCTAGATACCCTCCTCCACTGGTCGGCAGCCAGTGTGCCACCGCCGACTGCAAAGTGGCAAACGCTCTCTGGATGCCACCGTGTCCACAACCTTCAACTTTCGGTGGTGTTATATTTGTAAATGAAAATATTCAAAATGACAAGTAAAACCAACTACCTAACGCAGATGCCTAATGTGCCATGTGAAGAAAACGATGTAGCGAGCATTTAACAATTTGTGTAGTAACGAGCCTGGTAGTGTAAAAACTACGAGTTTATGGTCTAGTGGTAAATGATAGATTACGAGGTTTCTTTAAAATTAAAAATTGGAGGTCTCGAATTCGATACCCGCGGTTGGTGTGAAAAACAGACTTGTGGTCAGGGGGATGCTGAAATGTCTCTGTAAGTGGATAACCGTGATTTATCATCAATTGTCCCCCTTAAATATATATATATATATATATATAAATAAAATAAAAAATAAAAATAAAAACCCTAGTAGTGTAGACTTTCAATTAAGTAGTACATTTGAAATTTATTATCTGCGGGTGTTGTGAGGCCACCTTAAGCATGCTTAAATTACTTAGGTTAGTAGGATGTCCCACTCAAAGTATTACAATTTTTTTTTAGTCCTCGGAGCATCTTTTATGAATTTATAAATTAGAAAATGGAAAACTATTTTCATAATGCAGCTTAGAAGTGATAGTTAGGGGTCCAAAAATCTCCAAAATGTTCCACAAGACTATTACGAAGCTTGAAATGTGGCAAAACTTGCATGAAAATAATTTTTTTGTAGAAATTCCCAAAATTGATTGTTATAAAAAAAAAAAAAAATGTGACCTTTGAGTTTTCGCAAGAAATCTTTCATGACTACTAAAGAAAATGTTATAAAATCTTTAGACACAGTGTTATCATATTTTGAGTCCCTAATGTATTTATTAAGAAAGTTTTATGCAAAACAAAAACATAAATAAAAGAAAAATACTTGCATAGCTCGAAATTGATAGTGGAATTACAAATTTTAAAATACGGGTCTCAGTTACCATCCTAATTTAAAAGGTGGCAGCTAGTGGAGGTTAATTATTTCGGTCTAGAATATTTCTCTCTTTTTATCTCTTGAGCTACTTTATATGTTCTGGAGACAAATTAGGCCCCGTAAAGTTGCAAATGCTAAACGAGAACTAGGATTTCATTCCCCGGCCACCAGTTACGGTGATTGGCTGATAGAGAAAGGCTCAAAAGCAATTGGTGATTTGTTTTTTCTTTATATATTAAAGAGAGAGAAGTAATATTATCATATATATATATATATATATATATATCATTCCTTCAAACATATTAAGAGTTTTTTTTTTTTTGTTTTTTTTTGAAAGAAGAAGAAGAGAACCCGGCCGGAACACCAAATTAACAACCTCAAATTAATGAAAGTTTCAAGTAAAAATCCCTTGAGGGAAAGCTGATCCATCACAAAAACGACACAGCTATAAAAAAACAGTATCAGTAGAGATAAATAATTAATTAGTTACTGTTGGAAACATCAAAGTGTAGATCACTATCAAAACCTGATCGATCTGGATGAGAGATTTTTTAATGTGGACGAAATACAGGGTAGTACGGTCATTATACATGTAGAGAGACATTTGAAAAATAAAAAAATTTCCCACTTATATGATTACATATAGTGTATCAACCTGTGTTCATTCCTTGTTCTAAGCACACTGAAAAATTTCTCAGAGGAAGAAGACAAGTATGATTTTTGTTTTATGGTGCAAGCATGCACGGTTGATTTTAGTCGTTGTTGCAATATATGAAAATCAGGCTAGTTGGTGACCATTTAAGGTCATTTCCAACCAAAATGGCTAAACATAGCCCGTCCAAAATTATAGCGCTGCAAAAAATTATTTTTAAATGAACAATACCAAACTATATTTATATATCAACTCCAACTGAAAAGGGTTATGTTTTAGCCCCTCAATAATTTATTATTTTTAAGTTTGTTCTTTAACTTATTGGTTAATTGAATTATTACCATATTAAAATAGGGTTATGAAGACATATTTTGAGTGTCACTTGTCGCTCAATGAATAAGCCTGCGAATTTCTTATCTTTATGTAATTTCAATATTTTTTCGGATAGGATTTCGAGTGACATGTGTCGCTAAATGAGCAACTCTCTATATTTCTTATTTTTTTGTAATCTTAATAATTTTTCGGATAGGATTTTCGAGTGATATAAGATAGTATGAAAGGGTGAAAAGCATGTGAGAAATGGTGTAGAAATGACTTGGGTATTTATAAGAAAAAAAATTAGAATTTTTTTATTTTTTATTTTGTCCTTAAAAAAAGAAAAAAATTATAACGGCTAGATGATGTTAGCTAGCCGTTGTTACTGATGTCAGTTGGCGTCAGCTAATTGTTGGCTAGGGGCTCCCAAACAGGCTGCTGGGAGGG